CGACTGTCAGGACTGTTACTCGTGATTCCGAACTAGCTGGGTTTGTCGTTTGCAAAAGCCAGGTGATAAAATACCGCACATGGTATCGGTCAGTCGTCACATTTCTCGCAAACGACACAATGTCCGTGATGAAATCAGAACTGCCCGTGGTGGTGCAAGTGCTTATCTACTCGGTGTATCATTTGAGAACTACCCGGGTGATATGTACAGCCCGAAGTACTCACGCAGCACAGGAATTGGTTTAATTGGGTGTTCGGAAGCACGGCTTTTCCATATGTGGTTGTCATCGCCCGCCTGGTCGCAAGCCCATCGCCCGCAGCAGCGACTGTCGCCGCGGGGCTTATGGAGACTGCAACGCCGGGAGTCGGTGTCCTTGCATGTATATGTTGCAAGCATGCACGTTCACAACTTACATACATGTATACATACACACACACACACACACACACATATATATATATATATATATATATATATATATATATATATATATACCTCCTGAAGTCTAACAGCATTGGGAGCCAATTCTGACGAATCGCGCTGCGGGAAATTCTGGATTTGCGCCTAAAGACAGCTGACATGGATGATAGGGCCATGCCAGCTGCCGTTCGAAATAGGGGCGCCGCCACACGCCATGCAGTGTCAGCAGTGCAGTGCACGACATATCGGTTACGGTAAAAGGCATGTTCACGTGGTATTTTAGCGCGATCCGGTTCTAAAACTGTTTGTACTCTGAACGAACCATGTCAGCATGAACCAAACACCACATGAATGAACACGCGCTACTCGGCAGTGTTCCAATCTACGAACGTTCGTGGCATCCTTCCCATGTGCTGCGCCGTCAGCTATCACACCCTTGGCTGCGGTGTTCAGGCCTGCAGGAGAACAGAACGGCGACCAGCGCCGGTGAGGGGGCCGGGAATTTCCGTGAGTCAGAGGCGCGCTGTGTGTCGCCTGAGTTCGTCACGGCAGCCCATGGTCACGGCCAGCCAAGCCACGGCCGCAATAGATGCATGCATCACGACCGCAGCCAGCAGTTCATTCGCACGAGACTGAGGCCTCCAGACGCCTGTGTCTACCCACGCTTGACCGTTCTGCAGTCTGCCCTCGAGCGCACCTATCGCACTGTGCTCCGTAACTTGAAATGGACTCAACCAAATCGACGCTGAACGCTGCGCCCGTCACGGTTTTTACTTCGCAGTCATGCAACGCGCGTGCATCCAGCCTGGTGGTGGCGTGAGCATGGCTGAGATGTCATGCGTCACACTCTGAGCGGCGTAATGCCAGCCCCACAGACGTCAGGCGCCGACCCGGGGCTCGGAGGTCGGTACACGGTTACTCTCCGACCCGAGCCGGCTTGGAGGTCGGCAGACGGCTACTCCGAGCCGGCTCGGAGGTCGGCAGACGGCGTCTCCGAGCCGGCTCGGAAGTCGACAGACGGCTACTCCGAGCCGGCTCGGGGGTTAACAGACGGCTACTCCCCGACCCGAGCCGGCTTGGAGGTCGGCAGACGGCTACTCCGAACCGGCTCGGAGGTCGAGTTGGCTACTCCCCGATCCGAGACGGCTTGAAGGTCGACAGACTGCTACTCCCCGACCCGAGACAGTTCGGAGGTCGACAGATGGCTACTCCCCGACCCGAGACGGCTCGGAGGTCGGCAGACGGCTACCTCCCAACCCAAGACGGTTCGGAGGTCGACAGGTGGCTACTCCCCGACCCGAGACGGTTCGGAGGTCGGCAGATGGCTACTCCCCGACCCGAGACGGCTTGGAGGTCGGCAGACAGCTATTCCCCGACCTGAGACGGCTCGCGCCTACAGCCCTGCTGACCGCGTGCAGTCGCGTCGGCCAGCAATATCCGTCGAGATGCCGGAGCGCGAGATGGCGGGCAGCCGGACCCTCACTGCGTGACGCGAGCGCAGCCTACCCAGCGGGCGGCGGTGGACGGGGCGTGGTACAGGGGTCAGTTGTGCAGCGTGCATCGAGTGTGCCACGTGGCGTCTCGCGCGCTAGTCACGTGTCGGTCAGTGGCGTGACGCGTCGCAACTCGTGACGCCCGCCGTCTGTCGTCGACGCACGCGTCGCCAGGAGCCGCGCTGCAGACGCGCCAAGCGCGGCGGTGGCACGTGGCGCCCCACGTGGCGGTTCGTGTCCTGAGCCACGACGACCGCTGAGCGGTCTCGGCGCCCCAAGTGATCACCCGAGCCCCAGAAAGACCGGCCCTCCTGCGTCACCGCACGGCGGATAAGCTCGGCCAGGGATTTCGACCGCGCGCAGCCGCGTGACGTCAGAGCAGGGAAAGCGCGGGGGAATGTATTGCACAACGGCGGTGCACCGGCCCCGTCGCCAAAAACCCTCCGAACGTTTACGAGCGTCTTACGTTTGAAATGCATGTCGCACAGTCTTACTGCGTGCGCAACGGACCACGCTGAATCCGTTATCCAGCAGAGTATCATATGATTGCCCTTCCACCATCCAACCAGACGCCCAGCCAGGAATGCCAGCCATCCCTTGCAGTGTAGAGAAACAGCCGACCTATCTCCCCCCCCCCCCCCCCCATCAGAGCTGCCGGTTACTCTTCATACCCAGTCGAAGCTAGAGAAGACTAGAGAAGGTGGTAAGTCCACTCGTTGGAGTCCAGGAAAGTCCGTGAATAGCTGAGCTACATAACAATGAATTTGAAGGATGTGGTTTAATGACTAATGCAAGCGTATTACGAAAGCACATCAACAGCATTCGTACGTTTCTGGGACAATGCACTGTGCAAGGCCTTTCAAAAATGCCACAACTTTCACACAGTTCAAAAGTTTCTGCAGGGAAGAAAACTTCTCAGCGTTCTGCGTCGACACTGCCGCCATTCTCGAAGTACCCAGAATGAAAGCAGGGCTGGAATTTCCGTCACGACATCCGTTTGCGCATACCGATCTTGACGCAAACGAAGTAGCATGTGCCGCGGTGTTATTGGGCGAGAGTACAGTGGAGTGATAGACAATTCTAAACGCAGGCACACATTCTGTGCAACCATATGCGGACTCCCATCAGTACTCCCTGACACTGACATCCATCAGTACCTTCTGACAACTTGATAAATACCTAAAACAAGTTAAAAAAAAACGCTAGGAAATCTATGGTCGATACGTGTATTTTCTGCACAGTAAGCATACGCATTGCCGGTATACATGCCATTATGTCATTTGGATAGGTGTGCCCACACTTCCTACCATATCACAGAGGAGGAATGTTCTTCGTCCAAGAATAACGCCTTCCTCCGCCAGCGCCCATGCGAAAACAATCGCAAGCGAGATTCGATTACATCGCCCAGTATGAAACAGTGAGGTGAGGCTGCCGAGCAGAGCTCACAGAAGCGTCACCGAGCGGTCGCCTGAGGGTTGCCAATGATCCTCGCCCGAAATCCCGGAACCAGTCCCCAGCCGCGTAGACCCCGCACCTGTCCCGAAGCCGTAAGGTGGGCAGTTCCATACACGTCAGGGAAAACACTGTGCCGATGCTAGGTCAAGACACGGGGCTATGACGCGATCGGCAAAGGCTTATGCGGTCATCTATATGACTTTATGCAGTAATTCGACGTGTTACGTTTCGTTTCATATTGTTGCGGTGTCCTTAATCAACTAGCATGACTTTGTGGCGGTCAATGTCAATCGGACGATACAGGGTCACGCAACGCGGCTTACAGGTCACCCGCGGTCATCTCATTCATAGACGCTCCACCAAAATGTCTTTTGTCCCCCGTTTACCTAACCTGACCTTTGTTAACAGTGTGACCTCACTCGACGCCGGACGGGAGTCGAGTGGTGTTTTCGTATGGTGTCGGCTCCTAGTCTGTAGGGCATCGGACCTTGCCTGGAAGCATCATTACAATGTCATAATTTCGGGTGGGAGAAGGCCCGAGGGCGTCCGCCGAGTCCGGGAACTTGTGGGTACTTTACGTGACCGGCGGCATTGCCAGTGACGCCACATGCCCCGCGGTGTGGTCTGATTTAAACCAGCCAAGGTTATTCACAGCTGTTTACTTTTCTGATCCGGAAACTAGTCCTGCGATATCAGGGGGGAGACAGTTTTAACCCACAGATCAGCGTCGGAGAAATGTCCCAGACGGTTTCAGGTTAAGTATGCTTTGAGAAGGAGCATCCAGACATTGGAGGCGCCCAGGACACGTGCATGCCTGCCCCCGTCCAGCGCATTCGTGCGGTAAAGGACACGCTCACGGGCCGCCGACGGCCAAAATACATCGGCAACTGCTTACACACCGCTTCCGAAACCACGAAACAGCACAAAACTCATCCGCCAACATAACCTGGCATTCTTAACATAGCCAGCGATAGCGGCGCTGCTCGCCACCGGGAGCACCACTTCCTGCTGCCGGCGGGCGGGAGGTGCCCGGCAATCACTTGCAGCCACCGCAGCCGTGGCCGCCACGGCCCGCCACGCTGAGTCATCGCCGCCGGTCACGTGGCCGGCGGGGCGGCGTCGCGCCGTCGTCAAACGACTGCGACCGTTCCGCGGCGGCGGCGGGGCGCGGCCCGGCGCTGCACGAGCGCCGCCCAGCGGCGGTAGCCGGCATCAGGCGGCCATGTGCGCGCGGGCAGGCAACAGCGCGCCCGCCGCGCCGCAGGTGGCCGAGATTCCCAGCGAGCGCGGCCCAGTCCCTGTCAGCGCCCAGAGGGGCTGTCGCTGTCACCCAGTGCGTGCTCACGACGCCCGTTGACTAGGAGCGCGGGCGCCGTTTTTTAGGATAGGCCTCCCAAGCGGGCGCGGGTCGGGGACGATCTCCTTCCGGAAGTTGGCCCGGCCCGTCCGCAGGGCTGTCGGTCCTGCTTGTCTGACGGACGGACAGATCACCTGCTGCGACCCTCCACGCGTCATATCCCTACAGAGCCGGTCGTGCCCGCTCCGCCGTCGGTGGGCCGGCGTCGCCGGTGTCGTCGGCTCCGTCGGCTCCGCTCCATCGCCGACCGCCGGCCCCAGCGCCGCCGCCCGCCGCCGCTACCGGTTGGCGCGGCGGCGCTGGCCCAGCTGGTAGCGCAGCTGGTCGATCTGGTCGCGCTGGGCGGCCAGCGTCTCGTTCAGGCCGGCCAGATGGTCGGACATGGCGGCCACCTGGGTCTCGTAGCTGGCGGCCGTGGTGACCAGCTCCTGGCGAAGGCTCTGGCGGGCGGCTGTCTCCTCGTTCAGCCGGCGCTGTGCCTCGCCGCACGTCTCCTCCACGGCCGTCAGGCTGCGCACCAGGTGGCGACACTGGCGGACATGCCGGCAGACGCGGTCACACCACCCTCCTGGGCGTGCCGTCAGACGCGCACCGACCAGCCGCGGGAGGCCGGGGCGTGCGTGCCGACGTGCGTCTCGTCAGTGCGCGCGCGTGGGAGGACGCGTGCGCGGGCACAGACCGCACGGCATACGATGCAGCGACTGCCGGGCCGCCCACACCACCCCACATAGGTCGCCATAGTGGTCATGGGTCTTAGCGACGAACGCAGCAGCTGAGGCTATATAGCGTCACCTGCCTCTCACCCTGGCAAAAAGGGCGGGCAGCGCGGGGAATCGAGCCCGGTACCTCTGGTTTCCCAGACGAGCAGCTCAACCACTGCACGGCCAGGACTCCACACGCCCGTCACAGGCGGGCGCACACGACAGTACGTGAACCGTGGCCCCGACCAGCAGCACCGACCTCTCCAGTCACTTCGAACGCCGTTCACCACGGCGATCAGCAGTGTCCGTCGTCACCGGGCAGCCTCAGCCCGCTCTCCAGCCGGGGTCCGCCTCTCACCTGGATTTGGTAGTGGCGACACCGGCCCTCAGCCGCCCCCCCCCCCCCCCCCCCTCCCCCCCCCCCAGCCGCGGTCCGGCTACCACCTCGGTCTGGTAGTGGTGACACCGGCCCTCAGCCCTTAGCCATCAGCCCAGCCGCGGTCTAGCGCGCACCTCGATCTGGTAGTGACGACACCGGCCCTCAGCCGTCTGCAGCCGCTCCAGCATCTCGTCCAGCTGCTGCATCAGCTCGTTCTTGAGGCGCGTCTCGCGGGCCTCCAAGTCGACCCAGGGGTTTGCGGAGGTCCGCAGCTCGCCGTCGGGCGTGTTGGGCCCGGCGCCCGCGCCGGCCTCGTCGACGGCCGGCTCCGGCGAGGTCGGCGACGCCTCCCGCTGCAGGTGCTGCCACAGGGAGAGCGCGGTTGGGGACGGGCGCAGACCGGGCGCGCGCCAACGCGCCACTCGGCTCACACCGGAGACGCGCTTTACATAAAAAGGTCGGCCGACGGTGCACTGAGCAATAGTAATGCTTAACCATGCGCCTCCGATCTTACTCCACTGAGAGCCACAAAGGCTGCTGCAACATAACTGCCACCCGGACCTTTTTACTCGCGTCTTGCAACATGCACGCAGACGTTTTCGAATAAGAAAAAGGTTGACACGGTTGAAAAGGTTGAGAATGTTCTGAAATAATAACTTGCAGTCCCCATATTAATGTATTCAGGAAGGCATCAATGTTAAATTACTACGTAACGCAAGCATTGACATAAACTATAAAACCCCGGTGTGGGTAACGTTCATGTTTGAGCCATGGGGTAGTCCTGCAAAATGCGACGGGGGAGGGGCTGAAAGATACACATCACAAAAATACCCTAAAATACGCCAGCAAACTGGCTTCTCCCAGACTTTGGCCAGCTCCCCTCCATAGTTCGGGGGGGGGGGGGGCAGGACTCCCCAACTAAATGAAGAACTAAGCCCTGTTCGAAACAAACCGTGTGAGATCACACATGCACAGAATCCCTATCACCCAGCCAGCCAGCCATTCCGAGCTCGACATCCGTGGCGTTCCCGCGCGGTCCGTGCTCGCACCCACCTCGTACTTGGCCTTGACCAGCTGGTACTCCAGCCGCCAGCGCTCCTTGGCCTGCTCCAGCGCCGTGACGGTCTTCTGGCACTGGTCGAGCCGCGCGGCCACCTCCGTCTCGTCGCCGTCGCCCAGCGAGCCGGCCAGCGAGTGGTCGTACGAGCCGCGCGGCGCCGCCGCCTGCCGCACACGGCGCCCGCGCCCGTTGCGAATGGTACTCGGCCCGACCGGCCCAGCACGGGGTCCGCCCGTCTCCCCGGCTCACGAGCTCACACGCCTCGGGGGTCATGCGACTCATGGCGTCATCTCCCACGCGCTCCTCTGGTTGGCAGTCATCCTTTTTGCAACACTAGCGCTTTTTGTTAATTTTTTCTGAAAGACCCGTCACGAGACGCCCGTAGGGAGCATGTTCCGGGCTTCCCTTAAACCCCCGTGAGTGGTGACTTGATGGTAGGATTGGAGTCCGCAGTATGGTATCGCCATCAAGAAAGCGAAAGATGCCGGTTGTGCGTTGTTATGCTCCGTCTTTGGCCGGAGGTTCAACACGGACGGAGGTTTAGGGGAAGCCTGGGAAAACCAACAACTTCCAAATGACTTTCTACCCACCACTCCATGTGCAGCACATCCGGCTCAGAAAGATTCCATCGGCCGATTCAGCACGCCAAGCTGACATTGCACACAAATAAGATCCCAAGCCACGTTTCGCCACACCAGCCCACGGCGCCTGTCGGCCGTACACCGGTCGGGCCCCGGTCCGCCGAGTTCTTGCGGCAGCCACTGACCCCGTCCAGGAGCCTGATGTAGGCGGCGCAGCGGGCCGCGAACCGACTGACGTCCGCGCTGGCGCCCGTGTCGGCCGAGCCCGACCGGAACGTCACGGTGGAGAGCTGGCTCATCCAGGTCAGGTGGGCGGCCCACACCGACCGCATCTGAGGGGCCCGACAGCGCTGTGTGAACACGCACTGGAGAAAGAACGCTGGTCAGCCTGCAATGACCCGGCCTGGGGGACGGGTCAGGTCAGAGGGTCACACCGTGTCAAGTCTCTCACCAACACGGACGCACACGCTCACACGCACACACGCACACCTACGCACGCACGCACGCGCACACCCACCCCCACCCCCACCCACATGTACACCTACACCCACACCCACACACTCACGCCCACCCACACCTCACCCCCCCCCCCCCCTTGCCACACACGCTTACAGAGCCTCTTGACCTGAACTGGCGGTCAGGACTGCGGCGACACCGCTCCATCAGACAGCTGACCTGACCCGGCACAGCTCCGCCGGACCCCCGGTCTGAGTGCTGAGACACTGCGCCGACCCACGCCCTGCCGCCCCAGCCGCTCACGACCGCTTCCGTGAGGCCCTCCGCGAGCCGCCGAACACCGTCCCTGCCGCCGTCACGCCCTGCCACCCCAGCCGCTCACGACTGCCGCTTCCGTGAGGCCCTCCGCGAGCCGCCGAACACCGTCTCGGACCGCCGTCACGCCCCACCTTCTCAGCGGCCGTCGTGGCCGCCACCAGCGAGCTGAGGATGCACTCGTCGGTGGTGCGCAGGGCGGCGGTGGTGGACGGCAGATCCCGCTCCTCCGACATGCGCACGGTGCAGCTCTTGGACAGCTCTGCCGGACAGGGGCGCCGGCGTCACGCTGACCGGACGCCGCCCGCCGGCGTGTCCGTCACGGGGGAGCAGCGTCACATCAGAACACGACTACAGCACGACACAGAGGGCTCGGGAGAATACGACTCCAACACGACACAGAGGGCGCAGCAGAATACGACCCCAGTACGACACAGAGGGCGCGGCGTAATACGACTCCAGTACGACACGGAGAGCTCGACAGAATACGACTCCAGCACGACACGGAGGGCTCGGCAGAATACGTTTCCAGCACGACACGGAGGGCTTGGCAGAATACGACTCCAGTACGACACGGAGGGCTCGGGATCCCCGAACAGACAGGCGCCGATAGAGCCCGTTGGGGTCTGCATTAGCGGCAGGACGGACCACCAGAAGCTGTGAGACATCCGTCACGATCATTACATTCTTGTCATCCAGGGTAGATGATGAGGATGATTTGGACTTCAGAGCGCGCCGACTGCCCTGGACATATCGCACCCATCCAGGGCAGTTGAGATGGTTTGGACCCCTGTGCTTATGTTCAGATGGTTTGCCTGAAATGTGCTAATCCAGCGCCAAGTGATTCGCTAGCTTCGGCCGCCTGCGGATTTTCTCACCTCTGAGCGACGTGTGAAGGTCGTCACAGATCTGGCCGAGCAGGGCCAGCACGCGGCCGCTGGTGGACACGCGGGGCTGCCCGCTGCGGGATGCTGCAAACACGGCAGCCGGCAACGTCAGTGACGGTGTTACGTAATCAGCACGCGCTTTATAACAGATCTGCCTAGTCAGTAGCAGTCAGAGGCAACAGGTTCTCACACTCCAGCCCCGAAGCCATTCTCACCGTGACGCAACAGATTTGGTGACTCGGGGTACCTACTTCCCCCCTTCCTCGGGTCAAGGACTAACAGATCCGCTGGCAACCCAACGAGCAACTCCACTAAATAAACCAGATGACTCCCAAAACATAAAGACACGGGCGATCTAACATAAGCGCATGGCTTCATCGGCGTGGCCGCACCGACACCCACCCTGCCTGGCGAGCAGAGCCAGCGCCGAGTGGAGCCGGCCGAACACGGCCGCCACCCGCGAGAGGCGCTCCACGTACTGCTGGCCGCTCGCCCCGGGGCCGGTCTCCTCCTGCAGGCTGCACGCGCACGGCACTATCAGGCGGCGAACACACGGGCCGACGTCAGGCGGCCGGTAGCCACGGCAGCCGGCAGACCCGTTAATGAGCTTAAGGTCATGGGAGACGGCCATACAGAGCAGAGCAGCGCAACACATATAACGCTACACGAATCCATCGCATCGGAACATCAAAGGGTATGCTCCAAGCATGCCAATATGGCAGAAACCATAATGACATGATTATGAGGTACTTCGCCCGCCGACGCCTGCCGAGCTATTAAACGACGCGGTGACGAATTTCAGCTGTTCATCCCAGCAGTGTTAGACCGCTCACTCTATTACCAGAGTTGGAGACGCAGGACCCTACAATGTTGCAACTTCACCCACCGCCCGAAAATATACCACTGAAAGCCGACTAGTTTCACTGCAAGATTTCTTGTAGGATCGTATCCCACTTTGATCATTTTTGGCAATATCCCTGCGTCGTGAGCAACTCCGCGCCGTTTGCTGCGCCGCCATCTGGTTCGCGCGCTTCCAACACCCGGACCAGTGCGAGGCGTACCTCAGCTGCTGGTACGAGACGACCTTGCAGAGGAAGGCGTGGTAGGCGCGCACTGCCTCGGCCAGCGGCGCGAGCTCGAGCAGGGTCTGGGGGCAGGCGACGGTCCGCTCGCCCATAGCGTCAGTCAGACGCTGCAGAGCAGCCGGGACCGGTGACAGCGAGTAACGGTGGGCCAGGAGCAGCGTGGACAGCTGCAACAGGCGACAGTCAGGGTTAATAGGGTCCGGGTCTCAATGCAGGTCACGAGAGCTAACTCTCGGCTAAGAAAATCCACCGTTTCCTGTCATACATTATTTTGCGGTTAAGTAGACGAGCAGAGCGCGTTCGGATCCAGCACTATGCATGATAAGTGTGTTGTACCGTGTGAAAGCGCGGCAAAAATCTTCACTTTGATAAAAACATCAATTTTTGGTGAAAAGCCAACGTCAGTGATAACATGCTGCCTAGTGACCACACATAAGTCACCGAATAAAATTCATTTCCATACGTGACCCCGCGGCAGACGAACCAGCTGGGCTCACGAGCCGCCACCAGCGTCTCATCCTGCCGCACTCACGGACCACCGCGAGCGCCTCACCTCGCCGCCCTCACGCGCCACCGCGAGCGTTTCACCTTGCCACGCTCACGGACCATCGCAAGCATCTTGCCTTGCCGCGCTCACGCGCCACCACGACCATCTTGCCTTGTCGCGCTCACGAGCCACGGCGAGCATCTCACCTTGCCGCGTACGGCGCTGAGGCCGTGCTTGCTGAGCGCGTGCAGACGCTGCTCGCAGTAGCTGTGGTAGTTGGAGAGGGCGGCGGCCAGCTCTCCCAGGTGCCCGGCCAGCTCAGCAGCCAGCTGTGCCGCGCGCCGCTGCTCGCTTCGGTGGCCCAGCGGCACGTTCAGCCGGTCCAGATGTGCGTGCTCTGACCAGGGGCGGAGTCCGGACATCCCGGTCAGTGGTCCGGACAATTCGATCTCTGGTCCGGACTGTCTGACTAGCGGTCGGAAAGTCTGTCTAGTGGTCCGGACAGTCTGGCTGGTGGTATGGGCAGTATGTTCGGTGGTCCGGACAGTCTGGCCAGTGGTTCGGAAAGCACGATCAGTGGTCCAGACAGCCCGGTCGGCGGTTTGGAAAGCACGGTCGGTGGTCTGGACAGCCTGGTCAGTGGTCCGTACAGTCTGGTCAGTGGTCCGGACAGCCTAGTCATTGGTCCGGACAGCCTGGTTATTGGTCCGGACAATCCGGTCATTGGTCCGGACAAACCGGTCAGTGGTCCGGACATCCCGATCAGTGGTCCGGACAGCCTGGTCAGTGGTCCGGACAGCCTGGTCAGTGGTCCGGACAGTCTGACTAGTCGTCCGGCCAGTCTGGTCAGCACTCCGGACAGTCTGATCAGTGCTCCGGACAGTCTGGTCTGTGGTCTGGACAGCCAGGTAAGTGGTCTGGACAGTCTGGTCAGTTGTCTAAACAGTCTGGTCAGTGGTGTGGACAGTCCGGCCAGTGGTCCGGCCAGTCTGGTCCGTGGTGTGGACAGTCCGGTCAGTGGTCCGGCCAGTCCGGTCAGTGGTCTGGACAGCCTGGTCAGTGATCCGGACAGCCCGGCCAGTGGTCCGGACAGCCTGGTCAGTGGTCCGGTACGGACTGGCGTCACATCCGGAGGTCCGGACAGGCGAGCAGCAACGCATGCACGAAAGAAGCATGGATCACAGCGAGCGAGCTAGTTACGATTAACTTCTTAGTGGAAAAGTTGATCATGCTTAGTGACACATGTAGAAACAAAACAGAGGGAAAGGAGAATGGTAGCATAACATACGCTCGGGTGGGGGTCAATTTGCCCCCCCCCCCCGTCCCCCCCCCGAAGCGTTTTCCAACATAATTTCCTACGTTGCATGGTTGTGGACAATTGAATAACGGATTTTTTGGCATCAAAATAGATGCACCTTGGAGAGTGGCTGACCTATGGCAGGTCAAAGTCCGGCCATAGCTGCCAGCGAAGGCGACTTCAAGGGAATCATCCAGTGTGATGCGGCAACGGAGTGTTAAAAGAAGCCATACTGTTTCTGAGGCAATCAACGATTGAATTTGAATTACAACAAATTCCAGTGACCTAAGATCATGTATGAAGGTTAGACCGAGGTCTAAGCCAACCTGCTTTTTTATATGAGAGCTTGCAGTATGGGGCGTCCCTGGCACATCGTGATCGGGTCACACTCTGAGCGACGCCACAAAAACCGCCCACCTTCGAACGCCCCGCGGCACCAGGAACGCCATCACGAGCGCCATCTCTCGCCACCATCTCGCACCACGAACAGCGCCCTTAATGTTATCTATCACTGAAGCGATGTCGCCCGACGGCCACAGACATCTTCCATGGAATTTGTTTAAGTGTCACAGTGCGTTAATGAGCTAAAGCGATCCAGATTAGCATTTTGTTTTAAAGAACATACCACCTAGCTTAGTACTTGATGCTGATCCAAATGCCAAAATCAAAATAATCTCATATGTCTTTGGATCACTATGACCTTCTAAGGGTCAAAAACGCATCTAACCTGAAATGAACATCAGTGACCTTTTGCTTTAGAACGTATATCTAAGCAGTTGCATGAGGTCTGGGAAGGTCTTTGGACACCAATCTGAAGTTTGATCTTGTCCGACACTATCTGACCCCAATGGCGTGACCTAGGAACTTCAAACTTTGACGCAAATGAGCTTACTTACAGGCCAACCTACCATATTAATTTGATATTTCTAGCTCTCCTAGTTTTTAGACCTCAGGGGGTCAAACTAACTCACAACTCGAATGAAGGCCATTCAAGCAGCCATCCGGACACGAGTTTAAGTGAACTGGCTGCTGTTCAACCCTATGAATCAGTGAAAAAGGCGTGATTGCAATGCCCTTCGTCTTGGCTTGCGCCAATTTCGCATTTCTATGGACTGGTTTCAATTTGCTAATTAAAAACAAACTGGGACGCAATACTGCGGACTTTCATTGCACTCTGGCACATACCGTGTAAAAAAGCACTGCGTGTCCAAATACCTGAGGTACCGTGGCATCTGGACATATGAATGTCCGACCAGACACCCAACCAGTGTGACAGAGCACAGACGATCATATGGGAGGGCATGGGGCTAAACGCCACCAATATCTGTCGCTAGTACATCATCTATAGGGACAGTGCTTCTAGATAGTTGGTGCGAACACCCACTTGCGTGTACCACCAGCGCAGTACAGTGGGTCGACACCTGCACCAGACCCGATAGGAGCCAGACCGTACACCCACCGGCGTCCAGCAGAGGCGTGTACTGGGCCAGCGTGCGGCGCAGCGCGGCGGTGCCTCGGTCCGCCTCCGCCAGCCGGTCGGACAGCCGACGCCGCTCCGCCTCGGCCTGCTGCAGCTGGCTGGAGGCGGTCCGCAGCTCGGCGCGGCGCCTTTCACAGTCGGCACACACGGCCGCCGCCGCCGCCGCCGGCCGACTCTGCCCCGCGCAGGACACAAGGTCAGTCCCCCGCCAGCGGACCTGACCACGCTCCGACCAGTCACACAGCCACCGCCGCAGGACACACGGTCAGTCCCCCACCACAAGCGGACCTGACCACGCTCCGACCAGTCACACAGCCACCGACGCAGAACGCACGGTCAGTCCCCTCACCACCAGCGGACCTGACCACACCCAGCCAGTCACACAGCCACCGCCGCAGGATACACCAGGACACACGGTCAGTCCCCCCCCCCCCCCCCCCCCACTACCAGTCGACCTGACCAGGCTCCGGCCAGTCACACAGCCACCGCCGCAGGACACACGGTCAGTCCCCCGCCAGCGGACCTGACCACGCTCCGACCAGTCACACAGCCACCGACGCAGGACACACGGTCAGTCCCCCACCACCAGCCGACCTGACCAGGCTCCGGCCAGTCACACAGCCGCCGACGCAGGACACATGGTCAGTCCCCCCACCACCAGCGGACCTGACCACACTCCAGCCAGTCACACAGCCACCGCCGCAGGACACACGGTCAGTCCCCCCACCACCAGCCGACCTGACCAGGCTCCGGTCAGTCATGCCGCCTTGTCGTCTCCTGTTACCATCAGGGCTCCAGTTCGCGAGCGGAGGGGAGACGTGTACGGGGTGCTTACCAATGGCTGGACTGTGCGGGGCGCCCAGGGGTGGCGCGCCATCGGTGCAATCCACACCATCGGTCAGTGCGCTGATGCGCGGCCGCCACCCACCGGCTCTCCAGCACGGCACAATGGTGCCGGCACAGGCATCCACGATCGAATCAAGGGGACCACATCCCGACAGAACGGCGGTAATTTCCCGACAACAAACTGCCTAGGCGGTCGGGCCTCCGCGGCCGGGGCCTCCGCGGCCGGGGCCTCCGCGGCCGGGGCCTCCGCGTGGTCGGAGCCGAACCTCGGCCACGGGCGGGGTGGGCGGCGTCTGCGGCGTTGGCGAGCGGCTGGTGGTCAGCTGCACCTCCAGCTGCCGCAGCCGGGAGGTGAGCGTGCCCACCTCCTCCTGGTGGCGCGACTCCGCCTCCGACAGCTGACGACAGAACGGTGACGTCAGAGGCCGTGGCGGCACGGACGACACCAAGCGTGACGACACACCATCCGCCACGCTTCCTCCACTCCGCTCCGCACAATCCGTACGAGTGCCGGGCTCCACCGAGCTCCAAGAACGGGTAACAATAGCTTGCCATGGGTCGAAACGTCGCGCACTGGCTCAGGCCAGCGGGTCCCGCCACCTGTGACGGCAGGCACTTCTGACTCTTCTGAGCTCAGCGAGCCCCTACTTCGGTGCCACGAGCGGCGTCGCTTCTCACCATTTCGTTCAGCTTGACGTTATCGGTGATTTTTGACATAAGCTCCTCTTCCAGGACGTTTAAATTGGAAGTGGCGGCGTGTTCGTGTGCAGGAGATTTCGATCCTTTCTTTTTGATTGCTTGGTCTGAAAAAGTAAATTGTATTGCGGTTTGGTTTTCCAACTGAAGACGATGCCCCCCCCCCCCCCGCAAACAACTAACACCGATATGCAAAATCACTAACAGCTGACACACTCAAATGTATTAAAACACAAAAACATCGTGAAAATTGCCAACACACGAATTGCTTAACCTCGAAACAAGAGAAATGTTTCAAACACACACACGCCATGACGTGCTGGTTCATCACACACACATCGCCAGCTGCAGCGCTTCACTGGATGTCCGAAAGTTTCAGCTTATTGTGCGATGCATGTCGTTACTATGGTCACTGACGTGGCAATCCTCGCGCCGATGGTAGGGGGCGGAGAGGGCAGCATGGCCGGTGTGGCCACCTCACCTGCCGAGAGGGGTCCAGCTCCTCCTGCAGCACGCCCACCCTCCGCGTCAGCTGCTCGTTGCGGAAGGTGAGACTCTCCACCTCCTGCCGCTGCTGGCGCAGCTGCCGGTCCGTCTCCGTAAGCTCATCCTGCCCATCAGAGGACAAGGCGTTACTGGCGCAGATGGGAGACTCATGTCCCCGAATCATGTCAAGAAGGGGTTGTAGGAGTAATGGTTCCAGACACTAGCTGCTAATGCCAATTGGATGTTAGTTGTGGCTAAGGAAATGGCTCACAAAATGTCATGGCCACAAAATGAAACTGACAGTTGGATGTCATCCTCATCACAGCACTAGAACTGTTTCAAGGAAAAATACTAAGTTGGTTGCAAAACACAAGGGACATAACAAGGTTTATGATTGATCACTGTGGTGTTCACTCTGACTTCCAGTTGGGATTGGCCCCTATCTGATCATCACGCAAATTTCTTGATGCCCATCTCAAGATCAAACTCAGCATAAAATAAATGCAATGCATATAATCAATACACAGTTCATCAATCCTATCCTCTATCTCTTCAACAGCAATCACACCATGTCCATTTGAGCAAAAACTGCCCTTTTCACTCACCTTCAGCTCAGCATTCTTTGCTTGTTCCTCAATCACAGCTCTCTTCAGCACAGTGCATTTGGCTGTCACCTGAAACAGACAAAAAAATCCATCACATGATACCATGGCACTGAACATATGGCACTGAACATCACACCCATCACATGGCACTGAACATCGATGGCATTAAAGTGCACTCCATGCTGAGTTCAGGCTGCCCATTCCAGCCTCCTAGCTCATGATCCCCATGCCATAAGGCAGGACCATTTGACCCTGGCCTAAGCTAGGGAGGACTGCAAATCACTGAGGTTATATTCTCAGGTAGGATGATCAGTAATTGTTTTATTGTGCAAAATGTTTGTCAATAACCAGGTCCTGCTTAAGACTTCTTAGTGATCACAATGCATTACATTGCATCTTTGCATCTTTGTTGCACATCAATCCTGCTATTTCAGTTGGTTAGAGTGCCTGCCCTCCAATCTGCACACCTGTGGCAGGGCAGGTTTGAATTGCTTGAGCTGCTCGCTATTGCTCTTGACAGCTATGACCTGGGGCCAGTAGCAGTGGCTCAGCTAAATGTCAGGTTATGTCAGAGGGCAGGCCAGACTGTGCTGAACAGTGAAGCATGATCCACTTTTGTAGCCTGGGGTGTAGCATTTTATAATACACAAAATTTATTGGCCTTCTTTTCCCCACTCAAGTGCCCTTCAACCTAAACAATTACCTATAAGCGGTTATGGGTCTTTTAGATTTTGAGTGTCGCGACTGCACGATTCATTCAGCAAGTTTTGTATCATTTGCTTAAGAATATTAAGGAGGTGAGGGGGCTAGGTTAGGTTAGGTTAGGTTAGGTTAGGTTAGGTTAGGTAGGTTAGGTTAGGTTGGGCTGGATTGGGGTATGGTATACTATGTTGTGATATGCTATACTACGCTATGCTATACTAGGTTTAGGTTCAGGTCTGGGTTCATGCTTTCACCATCCTGCTACTCTTGTTCAACTTCATGTTCAGGTTTATGCTGAGGTTGAGGCAAACTTGTGGGGTATGTGTGGATGTAGCAGATGGCATAAGCTTAGGCTTTAGTTAAAATATGGATATAACCACAGCATAGGCTTATGCACAGGTGTTCAGATTCAGTTGTAAGCAAATGCACAGTCAAGCAATACAAGCAGCCATATTAAAGGTCTATGTGGAAAAGGTGAGGACTGGGTTGGGTTGGGGTATGGTATACTAGACCTAGGCTTTAGCTAGGTCAGGTCATTTCATGCCTTTTCTAGTTGTTCCTATTTGTTACATTTCAAGATGGTTTCATTACTTTTCATATACTGGTCAGAACCAGCTGGACATCACAGAGTTTGGATCATTTTGCTTCCCCATGGCATGCATGCTTGATGAACATATGTGACTGATTTGTGTATCATGTACAGACAAAAGTGGTTTAAGAAGTTTTCATACTGAATGTCAACATAAGACAATACCAAACAATGACTAGTGTTATGTTTCCACATGACCCTATTTGATATCTCAGCAAGGAGAACCTTAAATAGTCAGCATACCCACCTTGCTATACTCTGCAGCCAGTGTCTGATATTTTGATTGCAAGTCAACACTTTCCATGACAGCAAAGTTGTGAGCCTTGCTGAGCTGTGGACGATGATTGCAGGGGTTGTAGGAAGCCAACCAAATATTACTAGTTAAGAATGAGACAGGAGATAGACAGGATATGCGTCTTGATTCCGAATTATCCAACAAAACGTTTGATTTCAAGAAGAGGAGGTAATAAGCGAGATCCGATTGGGGGCGGGAGGCGTCACCTCCAATGTGTACGTCCGCAATAGCAAAGGACATGATGGGCAAGATGATCGGCAAGGCGAGGCAAAACCTGAGTATGTATTACATATTTGGCGTATTTCAATCATATTATTTGTCTCTTCATATGTTATATGACGTCAAAATTTTATTTGCTCCCTTTTAATGCAATCATTCTATATTTATGTGAGTATTTTGTCCAAATAATAATGAAACTATTTATTACTTTATAATAAAATAGATATATATTGCATAATGCAATGACATTTTTCAAGGAGTAGTATAATGACGCATCCATAATCTTGGAAAGCGCAATCCAAGTTTTGTTCTTTCTTTATTCTGTGCCCTTTTTTCTTTCGGAAGGGTCTGTCGCAAAGATCCGCCACTCTTTTGGAACGGTGGGTGGTGATTTGGTGAGTGGAATGCGGTATATGGGAGAAATTATAGGTTGGTTCTGGCGACGTATCCAGGGTAGCGCCTAACTGACGCTTGCAATTTCAATACATTTACGCCATAATTGCGAGTGCCCAAGTTCGGCGGATGGCCTCCACCGATTTCAGCTCACGGAGGGGGACTGCATGTTTGAAGCGATTAGTTTTGCAAGCGGAAATTCGGGAAAATATCTCTTTTGGCATTGAAAAAAGCGCTGTACTTAACAAGAATGGTGGCAAATGAGCACAATACAGTCTAAACAGATTACGACGCACATGCGCCAGGCTTAGCGAATCAATGTCACGGTATCCAACGCAGTGATTTTTTTGGGAGGGGATGGGGACTGAAGTGTGGTGTGTTGGACAGGCCAGTCTGCAGAAAAAGTCTATTGTGTGCTTCAAACGTATATGTGAATTCATTGTGCAGTATGTGGAGCATGTCTGTGCTTGTCTCTGGAGCTAGTGAAGTTGGGCTGAATCTTCAAATTATTTTTGCTTGAGAAACTTGTGGGAGTGTTCTTGCATGAATTACCTTGACAGCATCATAATAAGCTTGAAACAATGGGTCTCTGTGTGCTGAAGCTGGTAATGGCTCTGCACTTAATTTGGGCTCTTAAATGTACATTGTGTGTGCCAAAATTGTTAATGGGATGTGAGAGCTATGCCAGACATGTTCATTGTGTCCTGTGTTTTGTGCAGTCTGGTCAATGCTGTACAAATAATGTTATTCTGAACATGTTTGGTGTAGCAGCAACACTGGAGCAAAAATTTAAGATTTTGTGTGCCAAATTTGTCTGTCCAGGTGGCTCAGTTGGTTAGAGCGCCTGCCTTCCGACCCACCCACCCCTGGCGCTTTAGGGCCTGGCTATTTGCCCTTGACAGGTATGGCCTGGGGCCGGTGGCAGGGGTCGCGCTAAAGGTCAGTTGACGTCAGAGGGCAGGACGGACCGTGCCGAGCATTGTGGCACGTTAAGCTTTCGCCACCAAATTCTGCCATTGACATGGAATTGCGCGATCGGATGGTAGGGGTCAGGGCTCGCACAACAAGCACTGCTTGGTGTGAGCTTTGATCCTGGAAATCCATTCAATCAAAGGGTTCCAATAAAATCTTTTAAACAAAATCTGGGCATGATGAGTTGTTCCCTTGGTGGTTGCTATTCTCATCTCATGAAGGGTTGATGCTGAAAGGGCATATATTGTGATGATAGCAGTTCTATTTGAAGCAAAAATCAGCATGGTAGTTATTCTGGGCTGAGTTTGATGCATTTGCCAGGTTCAGGGCATGTATGTCACCCAGCCATCTGGCACGGATGGATTATGTGCAGATGGGAGCAGGAGCTCGAATGATTTTGTTTGTTCTAAAGAGCTTTTATCAGGTGTAGTGTTATTGGCAGAATGCTGTTGTGGATGGGTACTTAAAAACTGCTCTGAAATTTGGCAATCTTAGGTGTCTTATGAAATATTTAACTATGAAATTGGATTGGGTATAAAACCCATTTCATTGTGACAAGTTGTCATTCAAATGGTTGTTTTTGAAAATACCTTGATCACAATAATTAAATATGAACCTTTTGAAATGCATTAGTTTCTTCCAAAATGATGTCCTAACAAAGCCTGCTTCAAATCAGTGTCCAAATCATGTTTGTTGTGAAAAACCATGCATCTACCTTGATAAACCTCTTTTCTGATCCAAGTAATTTGCATTTTCAGCACTTCAGTCCACTGAGAACATCCAGTTGTAGGAGTTCTGAAGTTTGGGTGTAGTGTACTTTTCAGTTGGGGGGGGGGGGGGAGGCAGAACTTCCAGAAGGAAGTTGGCTAAATGCAGTAGAAATCCACTTTGCATATGTTACAGTGGGAAGTTTGGCCATTTTCCCCTGCTCAGTCCCCTCCCTTTCTCAATCTTTTGTTGTGAAACTTCATCCTGCCCTTGACCTGATTTATAAACAGACACTTGTTTGGTGGTAACATTGATGTCCCCCATTACCCATGTCATGCAATACTGCATGGGCTTGGTTACTGAGGGTGCTAATAGCACAGTAGTTGATGTCATGGTAACCACTGCATGTCTTGGAAACCAGAGGTATGGGCTTTGATTCCCAGCAGTGCTGGCCCATGCTGTCTGGATGAGTGTCAGGTGACACCAAACAGCAGTAGTTGCTGAGTGCATCACAAGGTCCTAATGACAACAACGATGATGAGGGCTCACGTACTGTGCTGTCAGAAGTGAAAACATGTAGCTAGCAATTTCATAACTGTGCAGAAGAGTGTTTTGTGATTTTTTGGTATCATTGATGAAATAAGTAGTAAGAAGTAGAAGTGTGAAGTAAAAAAGATAAAAATCACAAGAAATAACCACAGCTTAAACAGCTGAGGATGCTTTTGGCATGGGAAGAGCTTATCAAAGCCTGATAGTTTATGCCTCCCTTGGTAAGACACATCTGATCTTATAAGATCGATTTTTGGCCATTGTAAAAACTGGTTGGGCATGTCTGATCTTATAAGATCAATTTTTTGGCCATTGTAGGAAGGGATTCAGCAACCACTCACAGTTTGAAAACCATGTTTTTGTGCTGTCACATGTGTTTTGCTATGCAGATGGCAAGCATTGCACAGGTGGTTGAACAGCGTTATGGAAGCATGGTTGATTGTCTCTATGTATCATGCAGTTCAGTTTAACGGCCTTAAGTTTTTTCGCGAAAAATAACTACCTGATGGGTGTAGTGGCAGCTCTGGGCATGTCTGCTACAGATGCAGGATGACGGTCAGTTATGGATGGTAGATGGCTATTGTGGAAGACCTGTGGTGTACCCACACCAAAACTCGTTTTACGTCCTTTATTGGGAATTGATCTAAGGATCTATCACTTGCTTGAATGTTACAATGTGCGAATGTAGTTAACGTGCGAATGTGGTCGCGTTGCTATGTTTTCATATTGCATTCATCTTACTATTGTAATTGCACCGAATCAAACACTAAGACTTTTTGGAATAATTCATGAATGTGATGAAGATAAAGATGAACATGGCGTGTCGAGTGGTGAAAGTTTGGTGACGAGCAGAGCAATGTGTTCGAAAACTGAGTTGTCCGCTTTTTCGAGTTGAGCTTTGTCCTTTCATTTTTGAGGCAGTTTGGCCCTTGGTTAGGACACTATATGTCCACCCCGTTCTCACCTTGCCGTGGTGAACGATTGGTTTCAAAGCATTGGGATGAAGTGAATGGTTTCTGAGAACGAGCATGTCTCCTAAGTGCTAGGGACGTCCGTCTGTAACAAAAACTCGGTTGGGGCGGCGGCTTCCGATCCGTCCTTCGGTAGCGCGGGTTCTAGTCACTTTCGGCGCTTGCCATTTTCCCTTGACTCGAATGACCCGCGGCCGCAATTTTTCCGTTGAGTTTTTTATGTGTTTGACTCCAGGTTATATCGCTATATTGTCACCACATTGCCATTTTAGCGTCTGAATCGATTGGTGAATGTCTCTAACCTATTTTGTTGAAGGTTTCTGAGAGAGAGAGAGAGAGAGAGAGAGAGAGAGAGAGAGAGAGAGAGAGAGAGAGAGAGAGAGAGAGAGAGAGAGAGAGAGAGAGAGAGAGGGAGCGGAGCGGGAGCGGGCGCGGGAGCGGGAGCGGGAGCGGGAGCGGGAGCGGGAGCGGGAGCGGGAGCGGGAGCGGGAGCGGGAGCGGGAGCGGGAGCGGGAGCGGGAGCGGGAGCGGGAGCGGGAGCGGGAGCGGGAGCGGGAGCGGGAGCGGGAGCGGGAGCGGGAGCGGGAGCGGGAGCGGGAGCGGGAGCGGGAGCGGGGGGGGGGGGGGGGGGGAGAGAGAGAGAGAGAGAGAGAGAGAGAGAGAGAGAGAGAGAGAGAGAGAGAGAGAGAGAGCATGTCTAAGAATGCAATGTGTGCTAAGGGTCGTCGTTCGTTCGGATGGCTCAGTTGATTGAAGCGCGTACCTTGCAACCGAGCCGTCCGTGGCGGCGCGGGTTCGAGTCGCTTCAGGCGCTGGCTCTTACTGGAACGGCATGCGGTTGGTGACATCCCCAGCGCCAGACGTCAGGTGACGTCAGAGTTCAGGGCGGAGGATGCCGAGCATTGGCACGTTAAGATTCTGCTAAGAAAATCTGTCGTTGACCGGGATTTTCCGATTGTGTGGTGGGACCGTGCGTTTTGGGCTCGTGCACCAAGCACTGCTTAGCGTGGTCTCTTATCCCAGAAATTATTCAATCAAAAGATTTGAACTAGAAACATGTAAAATTGTTTTAGTCCCTGCCGCTCCCTAATCTTATCCAGCATAAGATGGCCAACAAGCAGCCGTCATCTATAAAAATAAAGGCTTCGTCGATAGATAAACCGTAGCACGCCCGTCGGCAAAATGTGCGTATTTGCATGGATTCGCAAACTAAACTAAAGCAGAAACATTTCACACGCAGTCGAAAACGCGTGACTTCTCAAGTTGTAACGATCTTCAATGACGGAAACGGATAGCCTCACCTAAGGTGCGAGTGTTTTCACAGTAATGACGCGGATGCCGGGTGACAAAACCGTGCATGTCAGCGGGCGCGCATTTTTGCCCCTTGGAAAGGACGGTGTGAAGATGACTGAGCCTCCTTTTTTACAGATATGTGTCAGTTACTCGTTTCTGTTGTTGGGAAGCTTTACTTACGCACGAATCTGCCGAACCGATATCACTATGCGCTTTACAGCATTAGCATGTTTTTTACCTGGTTAAAATGTGCCGCTCTATGAGACGAACAAAGTGTTGCTAATAGTTCCATTTCAGGAAAAAAATGTAGCTTGACGTTTTTCCGTTTGGACGGCAGTACTGTTTGTAATTGCCCTCATGATCATTCAAAACAACAGTATTTTCCTATGTGTTAGGAATGTATTGGTGCTGGTTATTAGCCTATTGGTGCCATTCCTGTGTGTTCAGGATGTGTTGATGTTGTAAAATGTCTAAAATGCTTCCTCTTTTCAGGTACCTTTTAATCACAATCAAAGTTGATAAAACAACATGGCTGGATTGGTTGCAAAACTGCCTGCAATGGGAACCTGTAGGTATCTCGGTATCAGTGACTGTCAGTAGTGATCTCATTTTGAGCAGCTCAGGAGTCAAATTCATGTATGGCTCGTAGCTCAGTGTACCATATCATTATTTACCTTCTACTGAAATACCGTTGTTTAACGTCAATTTAAGCGAGCGATCGGTATTACAGTCCCGCCTTGCGTTGCCCCATGTGGGTTATCGTTTCACCCTACACGCCCTTAAGTGAGCGATCAGTATTACAGTCCTCTGCACATTACTTCCATGCACCTCTGTCATGTCCGTGTGCCACCTGCCGCGTGACTGACGGCCGCTGGGTGGCGCAGCGCTGGTGAACGCGGCGCGGCCGCGGCTGGCGACGTTCGTCAAGTACGCGCGCGTCGAGCTGACCCCGCCCAGCCCCGGCGACATCCCCGCCATCCAGAAGGGAGTGCAGGAGCTGGTCAAGTCGGCTCGCACCGGCGCCTGGCGCAACCTCACCGTCAAGGAGGCCACCGTCAACACCCTGGTCGGCGCCGAGATCGTCTTCTGGTTCTTCATCGGCGAGTGCATCGGCAAGGGGTCGGTGGTCGGGTACCAGGTGTGAGGTGGCTGCCCGCACCCGGTTGTTGTGTAATCGTGTCTCATTCGCGTGCAATGCCGATGCACCGTGTGGTTGGTAGAATACAGCTGCGAGGGTGTCCGAGTTGTTTACGGGCCGACTCAGAGAGAGGAACGGATGCACGGTGCGAGAGTCACATTTTTGTATGACTCGCCGATGGGGACTTCCCACTGAACATCACAGTTTTGGCGCATCTTTTATCAGCACCGTTTCCCGCTGGGAAGCAAGTAGGGAACGCGGCCACATTGCATCTTGAAATCCGAAAAGTGTATCATCTATCGTTGTAAAAATAAACGTGTGCGTAGTGTTCAAGTAACTACACTCATGATAACGCATCTTAATCTTTCCGCACCGTGCTCGGACACGGACAAAAACAAATAATGAAAAAGGATAAAGCTACATCTAACGACTGTGTGCGACTATGTGCCAGTCGAGTAGATCATGTGCCGAGTGATGAATGGAGGGAGACGCCACTGCCATTCGGGGTGTGAGAACGGCCACCGGGACGCATTACCCATGAGTGGGGCTAGTGATCGCAGGGGAGCGCTGCACACACCTGGTGTTTCGCGCGCCTCACACCCCTGGTGTCTTGCACGCCTTCACCCCCCCCCCCCCCCTTGGCGGGCAGCGACTATTGATTTGCTCGAACTACTCATTCAAATTGTTAGTCTCACCTTGAATTACCAGTTGTTTCACCCGGATTATCGATTGGGCATTCCTGCATGAAACGCTGGGGACGCTTCCCGCAACCTGGAAAGCTGTTACAGATTTTACCCCGAACCTTCTCTCCGCATGGCTGTCTGGGATCAGCAACCGGGTTACCTGGAGAGCTGTTATAGATTTTACCCCGAACCTTCTCACCGGATGGCTGTCTGGGATCAGCGCCCATGTTACCTGGAGAGCTGTTATAGATTTTACCCCGAACCTCCTCTCCGGATGCCTGTCTGGGATCAGCGCCCGTGTTCCCTGGAGAGCTGTTATATATTTTATCCCGAATCTTCTCTCCGGTTGCCTGTCTGGGATCAGTGCCCAGGTTAAGTAGTGATGATGGTCGCACGAGTCCCGACCCAACCATCTGATCGCGAAATACAGGCCGGCGGCAGAATTTGGCGATGAGAGCTTGACGTGCCATAATGCACGCATGGTTCATGTCCCTCCTGCTTCCTGACGTCACCTGAGCGTCAGCGCGGCCGCTGCCTTCCGCCGTGGGTCAGTTATGTCAGGAGCAAATAGCGAGCGTCAAAAGTTACTGGGACTCACCCCGCCAAGGGTGGGTGAACTGAAATGTAGACGCTTCGAATAACTGCATGCTATCGTGGCGGACAAGCTGAAAGCTGGAAGTTTCCAGTCCGCTGAATCGCTGTAAAGTGTTGCAGTGATACGTGGTGCAATGATTATCTGGCTACCGTTAGGAATTCCTTCTTGGATTATTTTGTGGGTTAATTTATGGTCCCAGCCCAGTGCTCTGCTTAATGCAGCGCAAATGTGGAGTTTCACGCAGGTTTTTTCGCGTTGGCAGAGCTGATGAGACAGTATAGTACTATATTGAGTGAAGTCTGTTTGGGAATGGTACATGTGCATCCACGTGACCAATTTCCAGCACGGTGGTCACCAGGAGCTCTCGATGCGCGCACAAAATCTGCGTGCCATTTTCGCGAGAAGTCTGAGTATGCTTTAGCCTACGCTATTGAACACTTCTGACTTAGCCTGCTTTCCTTTCACAGCTGGGGGTGGGCCGGCGTCAAAGTTGTGGAGGGTCTGGAGACTGGAGCCCTTACAGCGGAATGCGGAACCATACTACTGCTTAGACACGCCACACCCGCTAGTCGCTTGAGCGCTGCGAATGTTGCACTGTCCATGTGCGGCAACGAAACCTCGTTGAAGATCGGGTTTGAACATGATTTTTATCTGGATTTTGCCTCTTTTCGTTTCTTTTAATGCAGCGCTGAAATGTTACTGTTTTCTACTGCTGAAGTTTTCCAGAGTTTGGGCTGCTCCCCTCCCTCCCAATGTGTCGTTCTCATTGTCGACGCGATACATATCCTCGGGAACCAACGCATATCCTGCATTGCAGGTTCTCTGGCGTCTGCTTGAATTGGCAGCACTTTAACTAGCCAACCTGGCGCTCACCAGACGAAGTTGACGGATTCGATGAAAAGGAATCCTTAAATGGTTTCGGTAGTGGAGGTCGCTAATAGTAGATAGTCTGCGCTGGCACTGTACTGGGTAGCTGATAATCGTTTGTGTAACATCAAATGTGTAAAATAACGGGATATCACAGCTCGCGTGTTCAAAGACAAGACATAACTTGTGTATGTGCTGTGGTCGGAAACTGCGGAACGTTCAGTGCCCGGTTGATATAATTTTTTTTATTTGTGGTTATGCATCTGCCACCACCACCTGCTGCAATGGTTCCTTTTTCATGGTATATGTGTGCAATATTGAGGGGATCCAGGTGTGTTCTTACCACAAGTATTACCTATTTATAGTGTTGTTTGTTTTTGTGATGTAGCCATTTTCACTGAAAATCAAGAAGTTTGGCAATTTAATGCATAGTGCAGCAAGTTGTCAAATAAACATCTTTGCAGGGATGGGCTGAGCTTTGTGACATCTCACTGTTGACCAGTTGTCATGTCATGACAGGAATGCATGGTCTTCTTGTCATCACTGCTAGATCTGGAAAGGCTTCTAACTGTGCCTGAGGATGGTTAAAACCATGCATGGTCCCTCTTTGTGATTTATTTTATAGTGCGGTTCTGATCAGATCTATTGTTTGATCTGTTTTGTGACCAAAATGGGACCACTGTGAAGCCTGGGTCTATATCATAATTTATTGCCAGATGTATCCTTTAAGTAGTTGGAGCATTCAGGATTGAAGTCTTCTTCATTTCAGCTTTGCCTTTTCTAAAAAAATAAGAGTCATGGCCCAGTTGCATTTAGGTCATGATAAAACAGATGGTATTTTTATTATAAAAGATGTGCTCAATGGTCTGCAGACCCTTCTGAGATGCACATTTTGCTTTGCCATTACAAATGAAATGCATTTCAGTTGTACATGTGACACAGTCTGCACAAATGGTATGCATTATTGGGCATCACTTGTTTTCTTAATTTGTGATACGCTTGGTACATTTGTATGTTCATTCATCATTTATGTTTTGAAGTGACATGGAATTTGTTCTGCTTCAGGCTCCTGATGAAGTAGTTATCTTGTGATATCCAGGCAACATTTAAGTTTAGAAGTCCTCATTAAGAAAGCACCTAGTCATTCCTAAATATTTTTGGTATAGATACAGCTTCTTGTTTAAGCTTGGTCTGATCTGGAAGTATTTAAAATCCTCACAACTCATTGTGTGCAGATTACCAAATGAGTGATCCAGACAGAACAATATGGTGTGGGAACTTATCCAGAGAACTTCAAGATGAAATAATCTATGAATTGTTCTTACAAGTAAGGGTTGTTATTGTTCTCTTGGTGCATTGGTGCACCCTGATGTTATAACACTTGTAGCTGAAGCTAGATCCAGCCCATTCGCTTCAACTGGAAGAATGTGATTCATTTATATAACTTAACTGTGCACTTGGATATATGATCACCTGTGCATGCCTGTAGTTTTCAAGTTCTTGGGTGATATATTGATCTCAATTTAAAGTAAGATATTAAAATAGCATTGCTGCTATGGTCCGCAGAGGAAGCCATTTACACCAATGACATCATCATGTCCCAGACAACCATCCACCTGTGTGGCAGGCTGGCCCCCTTGAGCGCATGCACCGGCCCAAGGACCAGAAGTCGGGGGAGCCGCGGGAGTTTGCGTTCATCACGTTCGAGGACGAGGACTCAGTGCCGTACGCGCTGGAGCTGTTCAAGGACACCCGACTGTACGGCCGCCCTATCCGAATGCAGGTCAGCGTCGTCGCCTGGCGGCGTAGCAGCGAACATCAACTCGTCTGAATGGGCGCTACATGCCGCTCAAGAGGCATCTGGGTGGCGTTATTGTGCACGCTAGATACATCCGTGAAAAGCCGTTGCTTTTGAAGAGCAAGGGCATGTTTGTATGACCCGCAGGTGCCAGTAGATGCTTGCAGCTTCTTTATCATTTCCCTGATATGGAGATTGGCACAGGATTATGTAAAATTGTGTTGGATGTCTAGCAAAGTTGCGCGTCTGTTTCTGCGCTAAATAGCCGCCATGCTGATGCATTCGTGCGCCCGGCCTCTAGCCGAGGCTCTCGTCCCGCGGCGACGAGTGTCCGGCAAGGTTCCGAGCGTGGCTTTCTCTCCGTCGGCAGGCTAAGGGCGCCGTCAAGGAGCCGCGCCGCGGAGCCCACGTCCGGAGCGTCACCGCGCCGCCTGCCCCGCTGCTGGCTCCGGCTCCCTGGCGGCCGCCGCCGCCGCCGCCTCCCCGCAACGACGTCATGCTGCACCAGATGGCCGCCCAGCAGATGCTGATGCTGGCACAGCAGGCGGCGCTGGGCCAGCAGCGGTTTCAGCCAGGCCTCTGGCAGCAGCAGGCGCCGCCGGGCTTCATGCCGCCGCAGAGGTTCGGTCCGTTCGGCGGCCCGCCGCCGCGCGGCCGGCACCACCAGCGCAGCAACACGCACCACTGGTAGTGCCGCGCCCGACCGCCAGGAGCGCCAGGTCAACATAGCGGCTGCCGACCGGCGAAACAGCGCGGGCTGCGGCCATTGCGGGCGCGGCTGTAGCGCGACGGGCACTAAGCTGCGCTGGGGAGGCGGCGCTGAAGGTGGGCCGGCGTGCCAGCGGCTGGGTGCGCGGGGCCGCAGAGCCGCTCATGGAGGGGACTGGACGTCGGCGTCGCCTCGCCGCTGTCATCGAGTCGCTCGCAGAGGGGCGTGGATACTCAGGAGCTGGGGTCCTGTGCGGGAGTTTCTCCAGGGACCAGCAGACATCGAGTTGGGCGCCGGGGCGGATAGTAACGGGCGCCGCGGAGGGTAGCCAGATGCCGCGGAGGGTAGCCAGGCGCCGCGGAGGGCAGCCAGACGCTGCGGAGGGTAGCCAGACGCTGCGGAGAGCAGCGAGGTGCCGTGGAGTGCATCCAGACGCTGCGGAGGGCAGCCAGGCGCCGTGGAGGGCAGCCAGGCGGCGCCGTTGGCCGGAACATTCAGAGAAAAAATATGTTCTTCGTATGTGCCAGCACTCGGAAGAAACATACGTTGCTATGCAGCGACTGGTGCAAGTCGCCAGTCATTTGTTCATAGTTACAGCCATACCTCGCGACTGACGAACTGTGACGAATGCTGCTGTTGCACGGTTGTCGACGCTCTGTTTACGGTTCAAAGTAGACGCTCCTTGCTATGTCTTGTGGTCCTCATGTTTGATAAATACATTCAGATCTGTGAAATACTGCGTGTTGTCTGATAGATGTGAGCCTCGGCCATGAAAGACATCAAAAAGTTCGGGTGTGAGATACCCACTCGTTTCCATCGTTTTGAGCGTGGAATGCACTGAGCTGATGTTCAAGTGCTATCTGGCAGGCTAGCTAATGCATGTCTGTTTTATTATCACGTAATAACATGTGCGAGACCTTGCTGTATGGGGGAAATCAGCACATTTTGTGATGGATGTCTTGCATCATTATCGACAGAATAAAGGTGTCAGTTACTATAATGCGGCTGTGGTGTTCGGTTTCGTGCCTTCAGCCGTTACGTGCTGTTACGTTAGTTACGTGCCACTTGCTATGTTAGCCTGCTCTTCAGCCTGGCACTGAGGCCACCGATAGCTTGTGGAAGCTGGAGCGCGCTACGTTTTCCGCCGCTAGGTGGCGGGGTGAGTGGGCAAGCCTCGCTCTTGTCAGTGTTACGGCCGGGAGAGGCGATGTAGCGCGCGCCTTCTCCACTTCGAGCCCTCCTCCCCATCCATAAACTGGCGAGTTGTAATCCAGTACGGTGTGATTCAGTTTGTCGATACCTTCATCTAATGAAGCATGATGTTAGTACTATACCGTATTATGTATTATGTATTATGCATTAGTACTGTTATCGGACGCCAACCATCTCGCGGTGGCCATGATCTGGGCTCACCACGTCCGATCGGCACTGAGGGTAGCGTTTGAGACCGCTCAGGCATCAGTTAATACACCCGGCTGCGGCTCGCCCTTCGGTGTGCCCGTCGGCTTCGTCAGCTAAAATTTTGAGCGTCCGTAATGGCTTCCGTGGCCGGAAAACGGTGACAAAAAGACTAAGGCACGGCGACTATCGGGGCTGGAGCGGGCGCTACAAGTTTTGAGAAATGACCTAACCTTAACGCTCTCTTATTCCTGATCAGTTAAATTCACTTCATTTTGAAATTTTTGAAAAGGAATAAGCGGCTTTTAATTCTTTATCCGTGTGCCCAGGAGGCCGAAAAGTAAGGGCTCAAGTTCGTTATGTGCCTCTCATCTAAAATATTGCCGGTTCTGTCCCTCCCCCTTCCCCCTCCTCAGTTTCCCTGGCCCCTGATCCACCGCAAATAGCCTGATGGAACGAGCAACTCACGCACAGCAGCATCGAAACTTGAGATTCAATGGACTTCAGGACGCCGCTCAAGTCCGTCGTGCTGCAGCCACAAATCTGTCCCCTTCCCGCCGCCCGCGCGCTTCAGCAAGTTTCCCCAGGGTCATTATCAGTGTGGCTTCACCCTCCACCTTTATCAACGACTTCTAACCTCGTGTTTACGCAAGAAGGTGCAGCACTACCCCGGCGGCGCCTACCCCCGAGCTGACATCAGCCAGCTGTGCGGCAGTATCAGCACTATCGGAGCGCCGCGCGCGTCATCACGCCGGGACGGGTCCGTCTCTGTACCGCCGAGCGCAGCTGGCGGGCCGGGGCCACCGGCACACACGCCTGCCGCCAATAACAAGCCACTTCCCGACTCGCTTCCTGCCCGGCGTGGCGCGGCGGCGACGGCCGGCGCGCGCCGCTGCCGGCTCTGACGTCAGACCGACAGCCCTCGGTCGCCTCTCCGGTGTAAGACCCTCATGCGTTGGGTTATGTAGAACGCAGAATGGGCGGCGGCATTTGTGGAAGGTTAGGGGCATGAGTATGAGTACGGGTGGGCGGTGGGGACCCAAAGAAATGTCGGTTAGACGCTTCAAGAAGTGCTCAAATGTATTTCCGTTGTTGTTATTTTTCCGTCACAGCAGCGCAGGTTGGCATGTAGGGTATGACTGGTGGCAAACCGATGCGATCGGCATTGGCCCGTGGGAAACATAGACCCCTGCATGACTGTAACGACACCGCGCGAATAAAACATCGAAACCGATCACCCAGCCACCCGTCTGTCTTCGAGCCCGTTACCGCATCAGACTATGCCGTCCGGACCCCTACAATTGTGTCCAAAGGACAGGGATAACGACAACGATAACGGTGACAATAACGATAACGATAACGATAACGATAGCGTTAACCCTGATGACAAGCATAAGGATGAGGGCATGAGGCAAATCCTAAAGGTGCGAGCACACGCACCATGCAGATGTCCCGGCATAGGATGCGCTAAGCTGGGTACGCTTCGGTGACCCAGCACACTGTTGCCGACACTCGGAGGATCCCGAGTCCAAATCACGCGTCTGCCGGTCACGCTGTTGACTGACCACGTCTGCCGAACGCAAAAGCGCTTATCCTGTAGCGGAGCCCATGCCGTCTCCCGGCCTTGGGCTGGTGGCACTCTCCGTTAGATCTGTACAGCGGCGTAGGCAAAGCGGGTGGGGGGGGGGGGCATGTCCCCCTGGCGATGGTGGAGGCCCCCGAACACCGAAGGTCCCAGTACTCTTCGGCATTAATATACCCGTATGGCTTTTAAACCATAAAACGACCTTGAGGCATCAAAACAGGGTCCCGAGTCTAGAACATTCCCCGTTTAAAAAACAAGGCCTCTAAGCGACGAAAAAGGACCCCTTGGATGGAAGGGCTCCTTTGGTCGAATTTGGCATCCCGTTGGGTGAGATCCTTTCAACGCCACTGACTCGGCGTGGGTGGGATCTGGTCTATTGCTTTTTTGACACCACTCTGAGCCTATTGGTGATTGCCGTTTATGCTGTATTTGAGTAGACAACATAAGGCGACGCGAACACTTGCGTTTGGGTGTGGTTGCCATTTTTGTCACGCAGCTTACATGGCGAAGCTCATCTCATCGATGTCTGTCGAAGCCCTATTGATGACATCTGGAATGTGCGCAGCTGCGCAATGCGCGAAGGGGACGCAGACCCACTGATGCTGGAAATTTAGATTACGCCGCGTGAGCAGCAGATGTCTCCCAGCATGGGGTTTCACCATCTTTCAGGAAGCTGTGAACTGGAATTTGTCTGGTGACGTTGCTGCTGCGCGCAGCGACTCCACCGTTTATTTTCGACAACACTGCGCAATAATACGCAGCCAAGATCAAGGGGCGTATCCCATGGTCTGCTGGGTGCCTGAGACCAAACTGTCCAGTAATGAATTGGCTAGCATCTTGTTGGATGATCCGTCCGTTTTAGAAGCGAACCACGTCCTGACAAGCAAAGAAGGAAAGATAATTGCATGTGTCTTACTCATATGTCCCCACAGCGAATTCCGCATTTTTCTTTTGTGGGTGGTTTCAGCTGGATTACGCCTTGAAGTGTACGTGTAAACGCACGACGTAGGATGTGCGAATTCAATCGCTTTTTCGGTGAGCTATTTTCCTTCGCAGAGCACAATGCACTATAGAACATCGTCCAGCATGAGCTTGTCACGCTGTGTTAGACTGCAACGGTGGCAAGCTGCGCTTGTGCTTCATGTGACCTTTGTTACCCCACAATATAGCGCATGCAGCACGCGCATTTTCTCCATGAGCTGTCCGAGCCGTGAGCACGCTCCGCTGCCACCTCCAGGCATCCGCGCGCCGCCCCTACAAGCCGGCGCTGCGCCGTGCGCTGAACTATGACCGGCGACCCCGCCGGCCCCAGCGCCGTGGTGGCGGTCCCTCGGGCCGCGCCAGTGGCCTCTGGCCGCCGGCCGGCCGGCACCCATCTGGATTCCGGCCGTTCTGGGTAAGAAGTGGCGACGTCCCCGCCTGGCACTGGCCGGTGCCGTTTGTTTATCTCAGACTCGTGTGCAGCGACATCGCGGACGACGGCGCGGCGAGCGCAGGGTTCGGGGGTTCAGGGACTGGGAGGGGGAGGGGCATCACTGGGGCGGGGCGGCGCGGCTTCGACATGGTCACGTTGAGCGAGACCACTTAGAGCGGATGCTTTCCGCCTTTTGAGAAAGACTCCGCAGTCTGGCACTCCTTACGCGAGGGTTCACGGTAAGCTCTTTCGCCAGACTTCCGCAGCCCTCGCCTTCCCGATGTGGGGACAGACACCGTTGTCCTATCGGCTTGCCTCAATGACACGCTCTTTATCTGATGAAATGGCGCCTGGGGGCAGCGCACGCGGCGGGGCTTAATCGCGCGCCGAGGCGCCGCAGTGCTCCCGCGCCGCCAGACAGCCCGTCCGCGCGCCGCCGGCTCCGCCCCTGTCGCCCGTGCGCGCAGTTCCTGAAGGCCCGCGGCGCGAGCAGTCGACACCCGGCCGCCGCTCGGTGAAGATGTGGACGCGCTGCCTGCTGCTCGTGACGGCGGCGGCGGTGGTGGCAGCCGAGCTCACCCTCGAGGAGGAGCTGGCCAAGGCGCAGCGTGGCGCGCCGGCCCGACACCGCGTGCGGCGCGATGCCTGCGGCGGTGCGTTCACCCACGAGACAGAGGATAAGGTCATCACATCGCCCAACTACCCTAACGACTACCACAACTCGGCGCAGTGCTACTACACCATCAAGGTGCCGCAGGGGCACCGCATCCACGTGACGTTCGAGGACTTCCGTATCGAGATCCCGCGCACCTCGTCCAGCAACTGCACCTACGACGGCCTGGTGGTGCGGGACGGCTCGCAGACCGTTGAGCCGATGGGCCGCTACTGCGGCAAGGTCAAGCCGCCCAACTTTGAGTCGCGCTCCAACTACCTGGTGATGAACCTGTACTCGGACGAGTCGCTGGGCTTCCGCGGCTTCAAGCTCCGCTACACGGTGCACTGCGGCCAAACCTTCTTCAGCGACCACGGCACGCTCCTCTTCAAGGAGAACGATCAGCACATCTCTGGCACGAACACGTGCGACTACGAGCTGACCACGACGCCCGGCAAGTTCCTCGACCTCAACTTCACCATCAACGAGCTGATCCTGACCACCGTCCAGGTGTTCGACCACGGCGAGCTCATCCGCACGCTGAGGAAGGGCTACGATTACAAGGACATGGACGTGCGCGTCATCTCCACCAGCAACGTAGTGCGCGTGCGCTTCACGTACGCCGGCCTGGCCGAGGGCCACGTCGTGATCGCGTACCAGACGCACAACCGCGCGGTCGTCAGCGGTGACCGCATCTTCCTCTTCCACCTGCAGACGTGCCGGGGGCTGGCCACGGTAAGAACCGACCGCCGGGGCGGCTGCTGTGCACGCGGCGTTGTCCGCTGTTGCTGTTGCGCTGTTGTCCGCTGTTGCCCCCCTTGAATCACCCGGACACGACGTGAGCTTCTGGTCCAGGCTTGCGTGCTCCCTGTCGGATGTATCCAGTTACTGGTCCAGCTTTGAATGAGCTGCTGGTTTGGCCCGTTTCCCGACCCATGCGGCACCGTTCGGGCTCCCGACCCGGCAGCCTTATCGCACTATTCGATTCAGCTTAGGATATTTGATGACGATATCGCAGCGAGCACTTATCCGCCTGGTTGAAATCATACAGCGCGGCGGGGCACGCAGTGACCCAGGGTGGATGGAGGCCCTGCACTTTGACCCAGCGGTGTTTTGTGGTTTGCGGCGCTGTTGCGCAACGCACGGATGAAGCAAGCCACTCACAAACGCGTTATCTGCACCCGCCGCTGTCCGCCGCGTGCATGTTGCTTTGTCGTAGTGTGTCACTCGCCGGCGATGGATAACTCTTGCCGCCGTTCACACTCTGCCTAGACGCACGTTTAGCATAAGTCTGAGCCCAGCCAGCTGCGCCGGCCGCTGGCGCTGACTGTCCACGCGTCCCCGGCGGCCGCACCAGCGCCTCACCCCCCTCTGCTTTGCAGTCGGCCGGCCAGGTGACGGCCAGTGACGTCACCAAGTCGGCGGTGGCGCACCGGCTGGAGAAGGTCGGCGGCCACCAGAACGACTCTCTCATCCCCGGCGACGAGGTGTACCTGCGCACGCAGGGCGGCGGCTCGCGGCCGCTCTCCGTCTCGGCCACAGAGAACGGCCTGGCCGGCTACGACGAGACCGCGCGCGACAACAGCACGTGGCGCCTGTACGGCCAGCTGAGACACGGCGGCCGCGTCTGGCTGGAGAACAAGAGGATGATCGGCAACTACCTGGGCATGTACGGCGCGGTCAGCGGCCCGACCAACAAGCCGACGGTGACGGCGACGGTGGCGCTGTGTCAACCGCCCGTCGACTGGATCATGTACCGGGTACCGCTGGACTTTGGCTGGTACCGGTACGAGTCGAGCCACGCGTTCGAGGCGCGATGGGTGGACGGCGTGGCGGCGGCCGCGTACCGGGACTGCCTGGCGCACCCGCTGCTCTTCCCGCACTGCGGCGGCACGCACGAGCTACAGTGTGACTCCGGCGGCTTCTGAGCACGCGCGTCACGCGCCGCCACCATCGACTGGGCTCCGAGCGCCAGAAGCCGGCCAGGCCAGACCTCCATCGGCTGACCTCGGGTCGCAGCGACGACGGGTCTCAGTGACGATCTGGAAAGCGCTCCAGTGGCACGCACTTCCCCGTGACTAGCAGACCTTCACGACATAGCGCTTTCCCCAAAAAACAGCGAAAAGATGGCCACGTTGCTCTTCTACCCGTCATCTTTCAGTTCAATCTGGCCCGTGTGCGTCTTGCCCTCTTCGATGTAGTCCATTGCGAGCCTGTTGTTGCCTCCTGCGCCGTCGCCCTGCGCTGGAGGCGTGGTGCCATGGCGCATTTGGGGAAATGTCGGCTTGCGATGCGCCGTCTGCCAAAAGACGCGCTGTGCTTCTCAGTTTGTACATGGCGATCGTTGAAACGTAGGCGAAGTCGAGGATAGCCCGTCTGCATTGCGCCGCATGATGTTTTCAGTGTCGGATACATTGCTGGCGAGGGCGGATGGCTGGCGGAAGATGTTGGAATATTGCTAAGTATGTCGTCTCTGCAGCGCGTCCGCGTCTGGATCACACCATGCGACGCGCCGAATGATTGGTGAGTGGCATTCCTCATACATTTAGAGTAAAAATACAATATCCGTAAGACTTTGCACGGATTCGACGGCGTGGTGGAACTGTGTCAGTGCTTATATTTCCAAATGACACGCGCGTGTACACACGCGCACAATCGCCACGAAGTACCCCTCACCCCCGAAAAACGGCAACGTTCGGACATCGCCCAGCAAAAAGGCCGAAAACGTTCCAGAGCCCCTGGCCGGGACGTTGATCGTCCACAGAGGCGCGGTCGTCCAGAGCGCCGCTGCCATGCTCCTCAGAGTCCAAGGCTACGTAAACGGTATGGCTGAGCGACGAACCCAATCCCTAGCAGACGACAACCGCATGCCAAGACAGATTCCGCATCCTGCGCTGTGGTTTCGGGCGAGTGTGCTACCAAGGCCGCGACACTCAGAGGATTTGAGCTGACTGGTCAGCTTCGCACTATGGTAAGCACAAATGGCGTTAAAGCTAATGCTGTTAAAACCGGCGCAATTTACTCCTAACCACGCGTACGTACTGCTCTGGCTCCCCAGGTGGATACCAAGCCGAGCTTGTGCATTCTGAGCATAACCCGGCACGATTTGAGAGGGATGTAAGTCGCACAAAGCTGAAGTCACGCCGCGCCAGCGCAAGAATGCTCTCGAATACCGTTGTGCCATACACATTAGCAAGAAGTGTCAAGCAACGTCAATTCAGACGAGTTTTAGAAGTAGGTGACAACGCAAAATGAGTTGAAAACATAGCGAACGCATGCCCAATGGCTCATCGCATCATATCCATTTCGCCTGGTGCGTCAGAGCGTCCCAGAGATTTATAACATGCTTCTGTTCATGGTTGGGCACGTTGAGCTGTAGGCAGGACTCTGTAGGCAGGACATCTCCACAGAACATCTAGAAGACTCGGGTTTGTCTTCCTTATTGGGGCTCCTGTCAAGGAAGCCAGGATCGGAAATATTTCGGTAGTTCGGCAGTAGCATAACCTCGTTATTTGCTTCTTGGGGCGTCTACTCCATGATCATGTAGTCTCGTTTCCACCATGGCCTAAAGCATGTTCGGGTACGTCCGTCCATTGTAGCTGTGCCTTCAGGGCCTTGAATGTGCTGACAGCAGGAGGCAGCGCTGACCATGGGCGAACCGTTACCATGACGACCGAGCGTCGGCCCGAGACGAGCATAAACAGATGGTCACGTTTGTCGGCCGTGTTGGCCGCTTTACCGACCAGGCGCTTGCGGCGACATTTTGAAGGCTATGTCCCAGAGGTGCGCAACTCCCATCGACACGGCCAACCAGACGGCGGATGTCCGTAAATCCCAGAGCGGAAAATCCGTGGTCACCGCAAACTTGCACGATGCATCCGCGATATACGTGCATATCCGCCAGGATGCTTATATGCACTTTGCTGCACATCAAACATTTTATAGATGACGAACAGATCAGATCATAGACGTCATAATCGGAGCGATAAACGATGAATCGATAGAACCTCCGTGGCCGCTCATTGAGCTGGGAAAACATTGGTTTATAACCCAAGCAACGGCACTTTTCATGCGTGTCTCAGCATGCGGTGGCATGCTGGGTCGGACGCCACACGCGGCGTCGGACCTGCAACCGATTGGTCAGAAGGCATCCACAACAGTCGCAGTGTGCAGTTTAATTGGGCTCCGTAAAATGTGGCCACAAAAATAAGCGTCCCTGACTGCGTCCCAGTGATCGAAACATCACTTGGACAAACCCGTCTCCGCGACTTATTCCACGATATCGGGTAGGAGATCTCCAACTTCCGCAAACACTCACGTACCTCAAAAAACAACTGGTCCAACGGCGTAAATTTCCGGCGAGTTTATTTACAAGAATGTACAAAATGAGTCAGAAGCACATGGATGCATAAAACGAATTCAAATAATAATTTGTACACGTAAAATCAGCCGACAGCAGCCCATCATAAAACCGTGGGTAAAATCCTACAAAGTCCACCAACTGAACGCGGCCACGACGGGCTGACTGTGGCGCGCATGTGACGCGCGCGCGCGCCCGCGCCGCGGCGCACCGGCCACGCCGCATGAGGTACGCCTTGTCAAAAATAAATAGAGCTCGGGGGCGCCGGGGCCGCCTGGGGCGGCCGGGGCGCGGCCGGCACGGTTGAACCAAGGTAAAACATCACAGCTGTGGAACGGTGCGGCGCCGGGCGCTGTCACGGCGTCACAAACGACGGTCGAAGCTTCTTGACGGCCTCGGCGGGCGGCGGCGGCGGCGGTGGCGGAGGCGGCGGCGGCGGCGGGGCCGGCGCTGTAACGGACGAGAGGGCGGCGTCAGCAAGGAGAGAAGTATCGCCGTCCCGAGCGGTCGACGGCGGCACCCAATGTAGAGGCGACGGCCGAGACGCGGGGGAAAGGGTGAGGTGGGACACCCCCGAACCACAGAATACCCCCGAGCCACGGGATACCCCCGAGCCACGGGATACACCCGAGCCACGCACGCGGCACGTGGGAGCTGCACGATGGTCTCGAATGTGGCAACTCTCATTGGATGAGCGGACACTGCGACCACGCGACCACATCGCGGTCGAGACACGCAGGGGCTTTCCGTCTGAAGCGGAAGCCTGCACTGAAGGGCTGGTGGTACCTTGCTGGCAACAAAAGCCGGCGTCAGGCCATGTCACTGCACATTCAACATTGGGAACACTGCCGCACGTCGATGGACCACGGTTGCAAGGGACGGACACACAGGGACATGGACGCAGCCATGGCAGGAGCGTGGCCGATCCCGCCATTGCCCTCCGTCCGGGGCACACGCAGCTGTGTCGCGCGTTAGTGGGCGACCCTGACGTCGGTCAGCACCACTTCCTGCGCGGTCAGGGCGCCGAGGCACAACTGGGCGCGCAAATCGGCGCCGCCCGGACCGGACACGACGTGGCACCACTATCACGTCAGCTGGAGCCGCACAAACAGGGTCCTGACCGCACCCGGCGCCTGCGCGCGCAGTGCCAGGCACCGGGCGGTGACGGCTGGCCGCCGGCGACGCGCCCCAGGGGCCACGACACGGGGCCGAGCGGGAGAGTCAGTCTGGCGGAGGTGATGACGATGACCTGGGCTTTACGGCGAGCCCACTTCCCTGGTCATACGGCACCCATTCTGTCGAAGCCGAAGCATGATCTTCCTCAGACCGTGCCTGTACGTCACGTGTTTACAGGATCCGGCTTCAAATCAGGGACACGCCGATGGCAATATTCTACGAAATGGGTGCGAGGTCAGAGTCGGATAGGCGGAAACCGGGTCTAATTTTCCCTCGCAGCGACCGCTGTCACTGATTTCGTCATCAGGAATGCTGTTTTTTTCAGGCGAACCAAAACGTCGGTCAAAATCTGTTAGGTCGCTATCCGTTCGCATCGTATGTAAGTCCCGGACGTCACTGACTTATTTAAAAAGCCACCCGTTCTACATCACTCGCATCACCTGAAAGGTCATCGCCACAAACGGGTACACATGGACCCCTCCTGCGATTTCTAACCTACATAACGGAGTGGTGATGCTCCCAATGCAATGGTTCGTTTGCTGGACGAGGCCCCCCCCCCCCCCCCCCTCTCCCGTCACACTGTTACAACAAGCGTGGCCTCGCTCAAGCCTTGACAGCAGAAACAGACGTTCGCGACCGACATAGGCCGGCAGTACTGGCGGGTCATTCATTTGGGGCATCACCAGATGCATCCTGCAGCCTACACTGGGGGCCGTTAAGATAATAATTTGCATGCGGATGAAGATGCAAGAGAATTTTGTGTCGTACGGAAGGTGGAAAGGCCGGAAATCGGCCAACTTTTCCCCAGAACACTTAAAGTTGGGCACGCTGTTCCATCAGCGTGTTTCACGTGGCGGCTGCATGCAGTTGTCACGTTCGCCAGCACTCAAGGCGCGGTGCCACAGCGTCGTGAAGTGGCGGCGTTCAGTGACTGTGCTGCCATCTCGGGACGGAGCCCGGAACCTGGGCATCGCAGGCGGGCGTAACGCGCGCGGCCGATCATCCACCGCAGCACCGCTCGCCTACATCCGCCACGTTACATACGCACGCCGCGTCACGCCGCCTGCGCCTGCGTTACACTGAGCTTACCCACGAAAAAGGCATTCCAATTTTGTGATTTAAACAACGGAACAACTGTTCCCCAATTGTCAAAATCAGCTTTTCAAAGCTCAACAGCGCAGAACGACGGACATGCCGCTGATCGTGGAACGGCGGCCTCGCATCACTGCGTCGTAACGCCGTACCAAGCCAGGCCAGGACTGATGCACTCTACTAAAGCGTACCTCCCCTCCTCCCACGGCCCATGGTGAACCTACAACCTTACATAAATATTGTGGCGTAAAGAGGTCGGCTGGCGAAACATAGCATATGAATCAAAGGAGGGTGCATTAACCTTCTACACATGGAATTTAAACTGATTGCTCCGTAGGCCACACCCTGCAAACCACTATGTTTGCTGCGGCCCAGACCCCGACGGCCACCACCCCGTCAGAGACCGTGACAAACGTGACGTCAGAGATGGCGCGTCGGCGGCTTCTAGCCCGAATACGTCGGTGACGTCACGCGCGCCGTCAAATCCGGTCGCACCGGTTGGGCCCTCCAACGCCTGCAGTCCGGGGGCTCCTATGCGCAAGTTGTTCCGCAAGGTCCTAACGCAAGGTCCTAAGGTTCGAAGGTCTTGCACATCCTGGCGGATACGCAAGATCGGCGTGTTTGACCGACAGAAATGCCACGGGTAGCCTACACCTCACAGAAGTTTGCGAAACACTGGCAGGAAGTGAGCGCGAGGATCTACACATCATCCTCACCCCGAGATGAAACGCTCTCGAACTTATGTCGAGCGATAATGTGGGAGGTGGCATCCCTCTGTTCGCTAATGTCGGTGACACATACCAGACGGCATGACGTTACCTAACGCATGTCCACTAGACAATAGACCAGTTGCACTGGCGCCTCCGTAGGGAGCTCCATCCGCGTAGCCTATAGCGAAGATGCCTAGATCCCAACTGGCACCATGCAGACATTCCGTTCTGAACATCGTCCGTCCCGTGCCGTCTGTGCAGCTGACCATGACACCCCATACGATCGCGGTGTTGGCCAAGATTAGACGCTCTTCCAGTGCATATCTCGTCGAAGATGACCAGCCGCAACGGCCCAGCAGAGCGCGGCCCGCCCGCAGCCTGCGGGAATCTGTGCGTGCTACGACTCGTTCCGCCCGAACCCCATCCCCGTCTGCCGCGCCGCCCCACCCGCCTGCGTCACTCCCTCCGGGTCGGAGTCACGCGCCGCGGGACACCACGTCGCATCCCCTCATGCGACGCGCGTCCGGGAGGTAGGGGCGTGCGGGGACTGCGTCGCCGCGCCGTACGGCCGAGCGGCGGGCGGCTCACCTTCGCGCTGCTTCTTCTTCAGCTTCTTGATGCGCCGGTGGACGCGGCCCAGCTCGGCCTTGACGGAGGCGTACTTCTCGCGCAGCTTGTCGATCTGCTCCGTCAGCACCCGCACGCGCGTCTCGCGGTCGGCGCTCTCCTCTGGCGGAGACGGCGCAGGGCGCCGGTCAGCACCGGCGCCGCGTGGCCAACAGCGGAAACACGACGCCGGCCGGCGGCGGCGCAGCGCGACCACCACGGCATCACAGGGACGTGTCGCCGTGTTCTACGTGGGTTCGTAGAGCTTCAGACCGGGCACACAGATAAGGCCACGAACGGGCACCCGGGCGACGGGAGAACAGAGCTATGGTACGGTTGGTGCACACAAACCCGGTCACAAACGGCCCGGGTTATGAAATGCAGCTGACAAAAACCATTGCGACGTGCCAAGCCCAGGGTGAGGGGGCAGTCCACACTAGTGGGCTCATAAGTCTTGGTTTGCACTTCTACGGTACATATTGCAAGCTCGATGTCCTATCCACCTATCCACTGAAGACGAAGTGTCTTCTGTGCAGACACCTCTGAACAGACAACAAGCTCCCTAAATACAGATACGATGGAACAATACGTATGACACAGCCGACTGAAAAGACTCAAACTTTGTACACAGCGAGTAACAGCCAGCAAAGCGACGAGAACGAAAGTTCTCAGTTCGCGCCATTACAGCTTATTTCTCACCTGACATGTTCAATTACAAGTCCAGAACAACTTTGAGTTAAATCCAATGAGAAACATCGGCACGCCCCCAGCGTCCCCTGACTTGGGTAACAGTCGAACCGCACTCACCGAACGTAACCATAAAATTGTACTTGTACGGTTTGTCGGGTCTGCTCTGGTCGGCCTCCGCGCGATCACCGTTGCTCCTCTCCGTGAGATCATCACTGTCGCTGACACCTGCCCGCGAGAGGGCCGGGCCGTCAGACACGGCCCCAGTGCAGCGAGCGGCGCCAAACGCCACAGGATTCAGTGAAAAGGTACCGACGCGCCTGGCGAGGGCGGGGGGACAGCGGAGGGGGGGGGGGACGATGGGATGACGGGACGACGGAAGACGGAAAGACGAAAGACGGGGGACGGGGACGGGGATGGAATAGCACGCGGTGCACCCGGGAGACACCCGGCGTCACGGACAAAGGGGGCCCATGTTTCAAACAGTTGCCCGACAGACCAGAAGCCTGTCCAGACACGTCAAGGCGAGGCCAAACAGCAGCCCACACGTTGGACAGAGCCCCGTGCGCAGGACACTCAACAGCGAGTGATAGTGAAGAGTAGACAACACCACGGCGCTAGCTTCTCAGTACTTCTAACGGAGCTTTCGCTCGTACAGAAAATTCCACAATCACCAAGTAACAGATTGTTACCCAAAAAGTACTCGAGTCTCGACCGCCTGCCAACGATGGCAGGGCAGGGGACGGGGGATGAGGGGAGGGTCTCGTGCTATCCCTGCCGGGCGCAGTCCGCTGCTGCCGCCGACGCTATCAGTGGACACTTCCGGGCAATGACAGGTCCCACGCAACGAACGCTTCCGCGCGCACTCCCAGACACCGACCTCGCTCGGACCAGAGGCAGTCGCCGCCAGCCCGGACGGGGCAATAACTGCCGCGACATTATGAGGACCCTTGAATGCACAACACAGCGCATGAAAGGGACGCCATCAGATCAGCTGCGACCTGAATAGCCCGGCTGCATGGCCAAGAGCGATCTGACAGCCAGACCTACCCCTTTCCCTCCCCCCCCCCCACCGCCGCAGTGATCCAGAGCACGCGTCCATACCACCCCCTCCCCACAGCGCCTGGCCGTCCACAGCGGTGCCCTCAGTCCTCCAGCCTGGCACGCCCTTCCAGCCGGCCAGACCCAAGCCAAGCCGCGCCACTGCCGCAGCCAGCGCCCGACCCGGCTCAGCGCGGCTCATCGCACCCGGACTGCCCTCCCGGCCGGCCGGCCGCGGCCGCCCGCCGTCCGGCCCCAAGCACTGGCGCCCGCCCGCTTGCTGCCGCCGCGAACGCACCTTTGCCGCTACGGCCGGAGAGTCGCCGGCGCCGGCGTCGCGTGCGTCGCCGCTTGGCGGCCGGCTCGTCGTCGTCGTCGCCGTCGGCGGCGGGCGGCGGCTGCTGGCGCAGGCCGCGGCCCGAAGGCAGGCTCACGGCCGTCAGGGACGCCACCAGGCCGTTCACCTCCGGCGGCGGCGAGACGGCTGAAACGGCCACCCCCGGCGGTCAGACAAGGCACGGCACGGCACGCTATGGCACCACATGGCACGGCACGGCACGTTATGGCACCACACGGCACGACACAGCACGTTATGGCATCACCTGGCATGGCACGGCACTGACGGCAGCTGAACGGACAATGGTAGCTGGTCGGAAATAGAAACGCGTGTAATACCGGGTTAGATAATGGGACACCACGCGTCCAACAGCATGGAGAAGCGATTGGTCAATCCTCGCCACCCTACAACCCATAAACAGTCCATAAATGTAGTACCATATAGGATATCCATAATTCCAGCACGGCCCCTGGCGCTAAACTAGAATGCGAGGGGGAGACGAACGTACCGGAGCGAGGCTCCGGCCGGATGGCGACGGGGGCGCCGGCGGCGCCGGGCGCCTGCTCGGCCTCCCCGTCCGACGAGACGAGAGATCGCGGAGAGCGGCCGCCCGGCGTGGCCTGAGCAGACTCCCTGTCGGCCAAACAACAGTGGCAGTCAGAGGCTGGCGCACAGACATCACCGGTCACGACAGGGCGCGCGCGCACGACGTGGGTTGTACCTCACACAAGAGTCTGTGACGTCTCTGATGCGCAGAAACGCAATGACGCGCAAAGTGTGCAACTGCTGCTAAACGGGTGCCTGTCATACTAGGTATAGGCAAAAGGCGAAGCGCATCCAAACATGGGTGGCTTCCGTTCGTGTCGTGCCATGGAAGAGTTCTCCCGGCATAAGCTCAGCAAACTGAGACTGAAAACTTCTACTGAGCATCGGTTAGGCCCATAAAATTACGATAACCACGAGAGAATACGGGCACAGTAGTGTGGAAACATTCAAGAACACTGCAACTGTCTCGGTCAGTACATAGGCCACAACCAAGCAGACTCGTGACTAACCCGTTATCATCACCATGCCGGTGGAAAAAACCTGACCACAACGGATTCAAAATGTGAATACGTAGTAATCGCAAGATGAAACTATCACACCAAAAGCAACACTCCAGGAAACTGAGCTGCAATGCACTGGAAAAATAACACATACGAGGCACACGAGAACCGATCACCACGGGAAGCCCCTCCGTGCGAGACGACCGGGCAGTCCACTGCTGGGGACGCAGCTCACCGTTTGGAGCTGGAGCTGGCGCTGCCGTCGCCGCTGTCGGGCGTGGGCGGCGCCGTGGCGCGTCGCGCCCGCTCCGGCTCCGGGCCGGGCCGCACGCCCGACGGCAGCGACGCGAACGGCATCTCCATGCGGTCGGGTGCCGACGACGGCCGGCCGGGGCCCTCCACGCGCTCGGGGCTGCCCGGGATCGTCTCGCGGCACGTCAGGTCGCAGCCGGCGGTCGTCTTCACGGGCGAGGAGAGCGCCGCCACGCGCCGCTCGGCGTCCGGCTCGGGCTGGGCGCCGCCAGCGCGCCGGCCGCGGCGTCGCCGACCGGCCCCCGCTCCGTCTCGCCCCGCCCAGAGCCGTCGGAGTCGCTGCCGACGACGCACGGCGGTGGCTTCTCGGCGGCCGGCGCCGGCGTCGGCGGCGGTGGCGAGTCGGCCGGCCGCGCCGCCGCCGGGGCCGGCTCCGGCTCCTGCTTCGGCTTCGGCAAGCGGCTCAGGCGGCGGGCTGGCGCGCGCCACCGCCGGCCGCGCGCCTTTGGCGGCCGCCGGAACGTCAGGTACAGTGGGGGCCGGCGGCGGCGGCGCGGGCGCCGGTGGTTTGTACTCGGCCGCCTCTACCACCTGCGGTGCCGGCTGCAGGCGCGGCGGCGGCGGCAGCGGCGCCACCGCCGGACTCACAGACGACGCCTTGACCAGCGTGACGCGGCTCAGCTGGAACTCGGTCAGCTTGGTGACGGCCAACAGCGGTGTGACCAGCGCGCCGGCCGGCGGCGGCTCGGCGCGGGACGCCGGCGACGCCCGCTTCTTGGCCGGCCTGCGCGGACTAGGCGTTTGACCAGCGGTGCGCCGCGCCGGCGTCCGCTTCGCCGCCTTACCCGGGGACGCCATCGGCGACGCCACGTCTTCCGCCGCCAGCTTGCGCTTCTTGCCGGGGGACGGCGAGGGTGAGGCGGCGGGCGGGGGCGCGGGCGCGGGCGCGGGCACAGCCGGCGACGCAGCCGGCACCGGGGCGGTAGCCGTCGCCGCCGTCGCCGCCGCGGTCACGGCCGCCGCCGTCGACGCGGACACACACTCCGCCGCCGCCGGACTGCGGCTCGTACGGCCACCGTACGTGTTTATCACACTTTTCAGCTTGTTGGACGCCTCGCGCGTCGGGAACCCGTCGTCGCACTCGTCCGTGAACTCGTAGATGTCGCTGACGGCGCGCGCGTCAGCGGCAGCTGGCGGGCCCGCGTCCGCGTCCGACGTCGAGTCGGCCTCGGCCGGCTTCGGCCGGGGCGTGTCACCGCCGCCGGCCGCCACCGCCACCGTCGTCCGCTCGGCACTCGCCCGCGCCTCCTCGCCGCCGCGGCGCTCGCCGGACGGCGACGCGCGCTTAGCCGGCTCCTCGCCGTCGCGCTTGCGCACACGCCGGCTGCCTCTGCGCGGCGGCGTCGACTTGCCCTCGGCAGCGTCGGTGTCGTCGGCGGAGCGGCCGGGCGTCGAGCGCTGGCGCACGAGGCGGCGGCGCGGCGGCGCGCCGTCCTCAGCGCTCTCGGCCGGCTCGGCCTCCGAGTCGGATGGCGCCGGAGTGCCTGGCGAGGCGGGACAGGCGCGTCAGACGCCAGCGGCCCACCAACAGACGCGCGTCACGGGCAAACGTTCAGCCGTCCACCATGTGGTCGACACAAGCGATATTGCGCGCCTGCCTTAAGCAATGCAACATTAGCACACTAGAAAAAAACGTGTCATCGCCTCACCATGATTCCGCAAGTCCACTCTTCCCACACGAGATCCCAGCCTCCGTCCCTCTGCGTTGCACTCACCTTTCCGCTGGTTGACCTTCCGGTCGTGTTCGGCGGCGGCGGCGGCGACGGCGGGCGGCTTGGCGGCGCGCGCAGAGCCGCCGCCGCCGGGAGACCGGGCAGCATCGGAGGCTGGCGTGCTGCTCCGGGTGGGCGGAGCGGCGGCGGTGGCAGCGGCAGCGGCGGGGGCCGGCGCCGCCGGAGCCGCCGCCACCGCCGGCGAGCGCCCGCCGCGCGAGCCGGACGGAGACGGGACAGAGCCGCCCACCACCACCGGCTGTCGGCGGAGCCGGCCACCAGACGGTCAGAGGGCAGCGCACACCAGCCGGCGGACGGCCACACACGGTGAAAAGCAACACACAACACAAGGGGACGGCTGGCACGCGTGGGACGTGGCTAGAAGCCTCGACCTGCCGGGACGCAGAAAGCCAAACAATCTGTTTTCAACAGTCTTCTCTCGACTGACGGGGTCCCGTAAGTTCCTGCAGCCCCAGAGTGAAAAATAGACAGAGTCGGCATTCGCATCACCTCTACATCTGTTGGTGGCGAGATCGCTTCAACAAAAGCACATCATTTCGCCTAATTACATAAAATGTTAAATGACTCAACCTCGCCGCCCATCATTTTCGGTATACCAGACCAAAACCAACATCCACACACAACAAATATCAAGCACATCACAGCAAAGCAATTACCGCATTTAATTGTCTCCTCCTGCCTCATGCCAGCTGATGGCCGCCCACCTTTGTCTCGACGCGACTGTTGCGGCGCGCGCGCGTCGGGGCCCAGCTCAGGTTCTCTATGATGCGGTTCCGCTTCACCCACTCGTCGTAGCGCTTGTTCCAGTTGAGATAATGGATGTAGTAGCGGCGCGGCACGCTGGCCGAGTCCACCTGCAGTACCTGGGGGAGGCCGCGTCCCATGGTGTCACGCGTCGCGGATTACGGCGGAGGCTGGCGGCGGCGCGTCGACACGCTGAAGAACGCACGCTCGGCCGCCGGAACGCGACACGTCGACACAGCGCAGCTCGAGTGACCGCCGCAGGCCGCGCTCCACAGATATCTCCTCCAAATCGGCGCAACCGAACACCGCCCCGCACCCCCCCCCCCCCTTCCCCCCCCCCCCCACTCTGCGGTGTTTAGCAATCCGAGTCAGAACCGGCACCAAGCCCACGAAAAACGCAGCTTTCGGCAGGCGAGCCGTGATGCACAGACAAGTCAGCCAATACAAATGCAACCGGATGCAACGTCGCACGCCTAACACAGACTGCAAATCCCAGACATCCGCAACGGAACAGCCCAAAAACGGCACCGTCTGGCCGGTCGGGCCCGAGGAGCCCTGCTTACAAATGGCTTAGCGGCGTGATAGCCTTCACGAGGCTGCCCATTGGCCATGTGGCCCCGCCGAGCAGCCTCTGGAACCGGTCCCGGGGGGGGGGGGGGGGGGGGAGTGGCCGCGGCCAACAGCAGGTCTTAACCCGGCCACGGCCCGTCGCAAGGGAACGGTGCAACGTTAAAACAATACCGGCGTCCACGTGACAGACCGCAGCACACTTCATGGGAGAGGTACAGTTTCAGGGCCCTGGCTTTACTGCACGGATCAACATATCCGACGGCGACCAGTCCCACGATCCAAGACGGAACAGGCAGTGAAACGCAGCAGCCGTACCTTGGCCTCGTAGATGGTCCTCTCCTTCTTCGAGTTGATCTTGTACAGCACGGACACCTTGTCGCCGACCAGCACGTCCACGTACGGCGGCAGTGTCTCAGGGCTGCAACGGACGGCACGGGTGGGTCAGTCGCGACGGCAGACTGGCCGCCGGTGGGCGGCCGTCACCGACAGCACCATGCAGTGTTCCGTGTCGGCCGCGTCCCATGGAAGTCTTGCGCCCCGGGCTCGTCCTGGCCACCAGCGACACGTGGCGACTCCGTGGGGCTTCACGCACGAGCCACCCCACGCCCCCACACGCTCCGCCCTGTCGGGCTAGACTGCTCGCACACAGCCTAGGGGTGCAGCCGGCGGCACGCGGTCCACGGGACCGTCACGCAAGAGGCAGTCAGCTGGCGGGAGCGCCGCCCCAGGCGGTCGGCCGGGTCACGTGACCCCGCGGGGTCACTGACCGGCGAGAGAGGACCGTGCCATGGTGCCACGCGGATAGTGGACACGTACGTGCGTGCGTGCGTGCGTGCGTGCGTGCGCACGCATGTTGCAGCCGCGACAGAGGCCGCCCATCAACAGTGGACAACTGTGTGCTTGAGCAGTAAGCACCCTGTCCGCATATACCCCATCAACACCAATGTACCTTTACCGCAATCGCCCACCTGCAAAGCTCAATCACTACCGGTTCGCCACTGGGCCTCGGCTTCCCCGCACGAGATCCTAGGTCCATGGCTCAACATATCTCAGAGCAACCTCCAACAGGCGACGGAGCGGCGCGTCCTCTCCGTGTAGGGACGCTCCGGATGGGGAGACGGCGGCCAGCCTCCGCCGGCGCCACCTCAACCGGAACACGGCGCGACTACGGCAGCGGGAGGCGCCGGAGCTGGCGCCGGCGGTTCCGGCATCGCCGCCCAGCGCGCCGCGAAGCACCGGTGGCAACATCCGCAGGCGCCGGCCGGCTCGCAACATCACTTCCCTGCCAGGCCCCGGCGGGCGCCGGCCGACTGGCCGCATCACTTCCCCTGCCAGGCCCCGGCGGGCGCCGGCCGGCTGGCCGCATCACTTCCCCTGCCAGGCCCCGGCGGGCGCCGGCCGGCTGGCCGCATCACTTCCCCTGCCAGGCCCCGGCGGGCGCCGGCCGGCTGGCCGCATCACTTCCCCTGCCAGGCCCCGTCCGTGCTTACGGCAATCCAGTCCGATGCCAAAACAAACGTAAAGACTGGAGCATGCACACGTATTCAAAGCCAGGCGATCTCTCTGCCCCTCGGTCATCTCGGCGGATTACCATACGGTTGTTGTGCACAGGTGCAGCACGGCAAGAGTTGCGTCACTTATGCCCAACTTCCAAAGTCCATAACGGCACACGGTAACCGCGAGCTGCTCCAGACGAGACCATGCACCCGCAGAACGTGCCCCGACCCGAGCTGACGGCGCGCCGCGCCGGGCTGCTTCGCTTCACAAGACCGACAGCGCAAGGCTCGCCGACCGGGCCCAGCTCCACACACCGCGCTGGCCGTCCGGGCCGCGACGTGGCACCGCCCCAGCACGTGCAGTGGCCAGCGGCCAAGCGGCACACCGCGCCCTCACAACCAGATCAGCGCCACGTCCATACCGTGAAAGGCCCTGAAATAGCGCTTCTACAGATCCCAAGGCAAACAGCTGCTGGGAGTTACGTTAACTGTCGGTGCTCGCACGTGTGGTGATGTCCCTACGCTCGCCGATCTATCCAAGGGAACCGGCCAGACCAGCGGGCATGTTTACGCGGAGAGGAACACAAAGCAATGCAGGACAGAACACAGCCAAACCCTCTGTCAGTGCCATTGATGACCTCATCTCATGCAAACACAAGGACATGCCACTACAAAAAAGGTACCGAACGCCTACGCTGGTGCACTAGACCCATGTTCCCTACCCGTCACCAACTATCCCACAAATTAATATCCCTTAGCAACACCAGATGCTAGAAGGATAGGACACCAGCGTAACGCACGCCAACACTGAGGAATGGCAAACAAGCCAGTGCTCTGTTAACGCTAGTGTGGCAAGAACGAGCAACTCCACGCATCAAGTTTGACGGACTACCTTCGCATCGCCCTCAGTTTGTCAACTTGATGTGCCACAGTTTTTACTGATCTGCATAGTTCCTCGCGATCTTGCCTGGGGGATCCAACGGCGACCGTCAATTGGCGATTCCAACGCCAGACACTGCATCTTTCCCATGTTAAAAGAAGTGACTGGTTCAAAGATGCGCAAACCTCAGGCTTTCTGTTTACGTGACGAAGGTACGAACTTCAATCCGCACACTTGGAAACCGCGCCGCATGAGCGTATGTAGCATGTACCGCAGGCGGCGTGGATTAGCCGACACCCGGTCGCCGTGAGTCATGTATACGTCGACATTAGGGGAGACCGGCGTGTCCGGCCCGCGCATCCGCAAGGTGTGATTAACAAGTCTACACATGACCATTTACATAACTGGCCTATGCCGATGCTTTTTCATGTCATCGTAACTGGCGTGTCACCATACCCCACCCACACCGTCATGACGTGCCACCGCGACCCGCCCGTACCGTCATGTGCCACCGCACCCCACCCATATCGTCATGACGTGCCACCGTATCCCACCCATACCGTCATGACGTGCCACCACACCCCACCCATATCGTCATGACGTGCCACCGCACCCCACCCATACCGTCATGACGTGCCACCGCACCCCACCCATACCGTCATGACGTGCCACCGCACCCCACCCATACCGTCATGACGTGCCACCGCACCCCACCCATACCGTCATGACGTGCCACCGCAACCCACCCACAGTCATGACCTGTCACCGTATCCCACCCATGCCGTCATGACGTGCCACCGCACCCCACCCATATCGTCATGACGTGCCATCGCACCCCACCCATACCGTCATGACGTGCCACCGCAACCCAACCATACCGTCATGACGCGCCACCGTATCCCACCCATACCATCATGATGTGGCACCGCACCCCACCCATACCGTCATGACGTGCCACCGCACCCCACCCATACCGTCATGACGTGCCACCGCACCCCACCCATACCGTCATGACGCGCCACCGTATCCCACCCATACCATCATGACGTGCCACCGCACCCCACTCATACCATCATGACGTGCCACCGCAACCCAACCATACCGTCATGACGTGCCACCGTATCCCACCCATACCGTCATGACGTGCCCCCGCAACCCACCCATAACATCATGATGTGCCACCGCACCCCACCCATACCGTCATGACGTGCCACCGCAACCCAACCATACCGTCATGACGTGCCACCGTATCCCACCCATACCGTCATGACGTGCCACCGCAACCCACCCATACCGTCATGACGTGCCACCGTATCCCACCCATACCGTTATGACGTGCCACCGTACCTCACGCCCCATCTGCCGCCCCGCCCCTGCCGACACCCCACGGCATGCTTGGGCCGGCGCCCAGCACCCGTAGCTCCCTCCGGGCCGCACTCACTCGTCGTCGTCGGGAGACTCGTCCTTGCGTCGCTTGACGGGCCCGCTGCGTCGCCGCTCGGCCGAGGTCGCCTCCGCGCTGGCCGCCGGCGCCGGCGCCGGAGACGACTTGGACTCGCGGAAGCTGGGCCGTCGCTCGCGCGGCGCCTTGCCGGCGCCGGCCGCGGCCGAGCCGGACGTGCTGGTCTTGTCCGACTTGTCGCTGGGCGCTGGCGACGCCGACGACACGGACTCGGACTCCTTGTTCCGCGTCCGCATCGACTTCGTCTGCGAGCACGGCCGTGCACGGAGATCAGCGACCAAGCTAAGGTGGACCGCGTCTAGATCACTCCGTGGTAGCAAAAACCAGGGATAGTGTGAAGGTACGGAGTCAGAGATGGGAAAAAGTGCAAAGATGCGAAATAAACACGATGAATCACACCGCAGGTAAGCGAAACTATAACAACCTTCATTACCCCGGGAAAATTTCCGGTCCCCCACCACCTAATCGTACAAAGTGCGGACACTTTCCGTCTGCCCAATACCAACGGCACCCACCTCGGTCTCCTTGACGAGCTCGTCCTGCTTGGGTTCGCGATCCTCTGGCGGCGGCTCCTTCTTCACGTCCTTGACGTCGTTTTTCTTAAGCGAGGCGCGCCGCTCCAGCGAGCCGGCCCGCTTCTTCTCCGTTTCACCGGCGGCGGCCGGCGGCTTCTTACGCGCCTTGGCCGCCGGCGGCGGCGGCGGCGTGGGCGGCTCCTCCTTCACCAGCGCCGCAGCCGGCGCCGGCGCCGGCTGCGGCGCTGGCGTCGCCGGCGGAGGCGGTGGCGGAGGCGGAGGCGGGGGCGGAGGGGGCGGCGGGGGTGGAGGCGGAGGAGGAGGGGGAGGCGGCGGCGGCGGCACGACCGGTGCCGGACTGGAGGGCGTACGGTCGCGCTCGCGGGCGGCGCGGCCGGCGGCCGGCGGCGGCGGGGCGGCCGGTGACGGCGCGGGCTGGTGCCGGACTGCCGCTCGAGGCCGTCCGGTCCCGCTCGCGAATCAGAGTGCGCCCGGTGGAGGCACGCACCTTGGTGCCGCGCGTGTGCGACACCAGAGTGCAGCCCAGCTTCCGCTGAAACTCCTCGAAGTGCAGCAAATACCTGACAAAGATTAGAGTCGGTGAGAGTTGCTTGCTCGTATGGCCGGTAACGCGCTGATGCTGTCGCCAACTCAACCGACTCATTGCGGCCATAACACGGGGCATACGCATTTAGAAGGCATCTGCCTGCACCACAATTAGCAAGATATCGAAATAGATCCTAGTGGAAATGGTCACATATCAATGGGATTTCCAGCACGGCAAAACAGCTCCTCGCTCTCCACGGACCTTCGCCCCATCAAAGCCTAGTTCCCAATCCACCATCGGACTCCCGGAGAGAAAAGGGCATCATTTCCCAGCATCAGGCTCAACTCACCTCTTGTAGGCCACCTTGACCGAGTTGGTATTCACTGGACTCCCGGCGTCCTGCGTGAGCCGCGTGCCCACCGTCTTCCACACATTCTGATTGGTCACCTTGTTGTAGCCGCCCTGCTTCTGCACCACCTTCCACAGCTTGTGCAGGTCGAGGTCGCGCGCGCCCACCGTCGGCGCCCGGTTGATGGGCGTGCCCCGGTCGTCCATAAACTTGTATAGCTGGGCCACGAAGTGGTCCTTCTCCTCCCGTGACTCCTCGTCCGAACTCTGGAGGCGACGCGGCGCCCGATGAGCCTCGCAAGCACAGAAACACCACCACGGGACGACAGGGCAACAAGCTCGCAACCCGTGATCACCCGTAACGTTTCCTCTCATCTCTCGCTGCAATATTTAAGGTAAGGACAAGAAGCGACGCTTCAACAGCTGGTTTTGCCAGACGGCAGACTGACGCGCCAGCTCACGGATCACGTCCGGGGCCACCCGCGGAGCGATCACCCTGCCGCGCGTATCGCAGCACAGAGCGCCCTCTAGGCCGCCGCAACACGCGCGAACCGGCGCGCGGCACCGGTCTCAACTTTCGTCCGGCCGAGCATCGACCCAGCGGCGGCCGCCACCAGCGGAGGCTCGCCCCAGGGCGGCGGCAGGAGCCCGGGCCAAACTCAACCCAGGGGACGGACAGACGGCCGGCCGGCCCGACCGCGTCCCGGCCGGCTGGATTATTCAGGGTGCAGCCGTGCCGGCCGAGCGCGCGCGCCGCGGCCGGCGCCCGACCCCGCCACGCGGTCCGATCCGCCCCCGCTCCGAGCGAGCCGCTCGGCCGCTTGAAGCGGCACTTTCCACGAATGCACTCCAAACGGCTTGCTAGGGTGCGCTTGGGCTACCCACCAGCGTTATGACACAGCTAGTTGGTTACGCTGAACCCACCCCTCGGGCAGAACTAATCCAGTTCAACGACTAATTTGGCCCCCGTCTTTTTGCCACGACGGATCACGGAAGGGCAACTGCTCAACCCCATGAGCCTCTATGACTGACCCGGCTAAACGTATCTGGTTGCTACGCGGCGTTGCCACCTGATCACTGTATCCATGGCCAGGCTGCAGGGTTCGGTTCACCCTCCCTGGGATTTGAGCGGCGGCAAATAAACACCACGCCGTCAATATCCCTCAGCCATCAGGAAGATGAGAGAAAGTGAACTGTATGGACATCAGTCTCGGACGTTTAATGGTTAACCTCATTAGACATTACAAATAGGCCCGATCTAAAGCCACAGAGGACAAATCAAAATATAACAAAGTACATTTTTTTCAAAGACAAGCCCACTTTTCACATCTTGGCGTAAATACCCGAAACCTGTACACCCCACCATCCACCTTCCCTAACCTCCCCAGCCACCGGCAGTTCGTCCCGCCGTCGCCCGGCGGCGTGCCCGCCCCGACGGGAGCAGTGACTTCCCGACCGGTCGGCCGGCCAGCCGCCGCGCCGCACACTTACAGCCGAATCGGAGGCCGTGTCGTTGGTCTCCGAGTCGTTGGTGCCGAACAGGGCGTCGCGGTCCCAGTGGGGCGGCAGCTCGTCCCGATCCAGGTACTGGACCGCCTTGTCGATCGCTGAGGGGGAGGGGGTCGCACACGGGGTCAGCACCGGCACGGCGGGAGGGCCGAGCGGCAACAGAGGGCGCCGTGACAACCGACGACCCCAGCAGCAGGTCTGCGCCGTTACATCTCCGACCGGCCGGACATTCGTGCAGGCCGGATCAGCGGCAAGGTGCACTGCTTGGGGTGTTCACCACACAGTCACCCACTGTAGGAATGCAACACACGTAACGGCGGGAATCGTTCCCAGCACAGACCGACAATAGTCCATCCCGTCTCCGCCCCACCCGCTCGCTCGACGACAAAACCTCTCGCACAAATGGGGTGCCCTCCTACGAAGCACGAGATCGTGACCAGTAACCACCAAACCCACACCATAACCCACCGGTCTTAAGGCTGCTGTTGTTCTTGGGCACGAAGTCGCGCTGGAAGGAGGACGTCTCCTTCTTGGGCACGGTGTAGTAGCGGCCGTCCTGGAAGCTGCGCACCAGGAAGTCGCGCCGCGCGTCGATCTGCGCCGTCGGCGCCACCACCAGCGCCGGAAACCAGTTGTCCTGAAGCGCAGACGTCGCCACGTCAGGGCGCAGCGACGCAGCCCACAGCTGCAGCAGACGGTACCCGAGCAGACCGGCTCGCTCGACCGCCTGACCACGGCGCCGGGAGCGTACCCCGCGACGAACCCGCACGCAGCACTCGGCTCCATCACATATCGTAAGTGAGTGGCGTGTACAGGACACATAACGCTTACGAGCGTGTGGTGGTTGCCAGCCTGCGGCGGATGGTCGCGGCCGCGATTCGGCAACTGCGAAAACACCAAGTGGACGCGCGAATTTCGCGGCACGAACCTGGGGACGCCCGGTCTCTGGAGCAGTACCCCGGGGACGAACGTTCTCTGGCGTACGACTGGGGGACGTACGATTTATGGAGTACAACTGAGGAGGGGGGCGGGACGCACGGTCTCTGGGAGTAGGACAACAGGGCGCACAATCCCTGGACAACGACTGCGGGACGCATGGTCTCTGGAGCAGGAATCCGGGGACACATGTTCTCTGGAGCCGTCTGCGGGACGCACGGTCCCCGACGCACGACTCCGGAAATGCACGGTCTCTGGAACACGACTCTGGGGGCGCACAGCCCTGGAACACGACTCTAGGACAACTTGGTCTCTCGAGTAGTACTTTGAGCACGCGCCGCCTCCGTAACCGCACATCCCCAGAGCAGAGATGCCGCGGCCGACTGACCTTCTTCTTCTTGTTGTTGTCGATATCGACGCTGACCACTTTGCCGACCATGTGCAGCCAGTCGGCGGTCTTGCGCGCCGCCCGTTTGGTCGGTGGGCCCTCGGCGTCCGAGTCGCTCTCCGACTCGCTCGAGTCGTCCGACCTGACGGCGGCGGGACCGTGGGCTGATCGCGCTGCCGCGCACTCATCGGCGCCCCCCGCCACACAGTGGGTGCCACCGCAATCGCGCTCTAGCGCCTCACGACACACCGCCGGGGTTGGTTTGGTGCTGAGGGGCATCTACACTGCCAAATAGTGATGCTGCACCCTTGTATCCTGCGCATCATCAGGATGATCATACGATGATGTCCACGATGGTGAGCGTATGACCTGTTTCACGTTTCACCATACAATCAATATTCTGGCCTCGGGGAACACATGGTGGACTGCCCCCCCCCCCCCCCCCCCCCCCACAGAACTGCATAATAGCATTCCACATGTGCTTTGACCATTCTCCGCTCACTCCGACCTGCTATTTGCAACAATTTGCACACATTCCATAACCGGCATTGAAACAATCTGATCAGCATACATCAACCCCGCCGCCCCCACCATCCGGATTCGGACACAGCTCAGCGTATTCCCACGTGCCCCACACACCGCGATGGTGTCATCGACGAGCGCGGAGCGCGCCGCTGCCAGCGGAGGGAGGGGAAGGGGAGGCGGCCACTCACTGGTTGGACTTGCCGCGTCGCCGCTGCCGAACCGGGTTGGAGAAGTGCTCCGGGTGCGTGAGCGGCAGGTGGTCGAGCGACTCGGCCTCGGTGAAGTGGCGGCCCGACTTCAGGCACAGCGACGTCCGCCGCAGCGTCGTGATGTCGCCGTCGTCGAACACTGGCGGAGGCGGCGGCGCGTTACGACGCCGGACGCACACCGGCACGGCCAGCACACGGCCGTCAGCGGCCAGAACACGGCCGTAAGTGGCCAGAACACGGCTGCGCACGGCCAGCAGACGGCCGCGCGTGGACAGAACTTGACCAGAACACAGCCAGCCGTCCGCGGGCAAAGCGGCTGGAGCACGGCGGGCCACGCAGAGCACGGACAGAACAGGACCAGAACACAGCCAGCCGCCGGCAGACGAACGCGGCAAGAGCACGGCGGGCTACGCAGGGCATGAACAGAATACGACCAGAGCACAGTCAGCCGTCGGCAGACGAACGCAGCAGGAGTACGGTGGGCCACGCAGAGCGCTGATGAATCGATGGGACGTGATCGAGCCGTGCCGATGGCCAGGAATATGATCACAACGCTTAATTACGCTAGGTACAGCGAATGAGTGGGATGAAACTAGCCGATAAAGGACAAAAGGCCACCGGCTGACGATCGACACAACTGTGCCAAGACGACAGACACCTGATCAGAAAACGCCGTTAGAGCCATTAGCAAATTTTGGCGTCAACAATGTTCGTATCGATTGATGGGCCACGAACAGGTGTCTCAGGCAAAACAAAGCCTCGCGTGCTTGCGGCTGTGTCTTGTGGCTATGCTTGCTTATACAGGCCGGCTTAGGAGCGCGGCAGATCTCAAATGCCGCGCACTGATCGCAACGCTTCAGCGTCATTACTGTGACCGACCAGTGGTGCAGTTTTGTATGGAACTGCGTCACTGGCTTTTGTGAAGTGTGGGATGTCGGAGCTCTTCACCAAGTTCTCTGCTTAGTTCGTAAGCTTGCATTACGAAGCGGGCATGAGGCGCGAAGTAATCCAGCCCAGCGAAAGGTCTGAGAACAGGTTCGGCCCCTGCCAACTGGCTCAGTGACAACAGCATTAACACTCTTGGATATTTCATGATGCGCGCAATACTCAGAATCATTTCTCGTATCTTCACGCTAGTTGCCGAGCGCACAACACAAATCCTGGCCCGAAACAAGGCTAAAGCCTGCAGCATCCCAATACGGCCGCGGGGCAAGTGATCTCCCAATGAGCTATTTCGTCACCAGCTGGTCTATTGGGACTGTAACTCTGTCCGTACCAGCATCCTCCATCTCTTTTTTTTTTGCCGTGGAGCGAACAAGCCGCACAATTCCTTACCGACGGTGTACTGACTGGTGTCCAGTATCTTGGCCACCACGCCCTCGAAGTACTGTCCCTTGTCGGGGTGCTTGACCTCCACAGTGGCTCCCACCTGCAGCCTACCCTTCACGTGGTCATCGCCGACCACCACCGTACCCATATTAAACTTCAGGTTGACCTGCGGAACAGGGCGCCGTAAGCAGCTTATGCAGGAAGGTGCGGCTTCAGAACAACACCTCTTTACCATACGTGACATTATCGCTAATGTTCCGCAAATCACCACCGGAAATGTAAACATGACACGGAGCCTGTGAAGCAGAACCGGATCAGTGTCACTGGGAATAAATGACTGGGCAACAATGGGCACGCAACCGCCGCAAGGCCGGAGCGCCAACGTGTACGTACACTTTCAACGGCATCGGTCTCACAACCATCCGTAACTTCACTTGTCCCGAGCACAGTGAGATCACCAATCTGAGGAGAGGAAATCGGCGAGCACAACTAACTCTGAGACACATCAGCGACAGCGATTTCACGCAGAGACTGAAAACACCGTCAGTTAGCAAGGACCACCTCAGGGGTTCAACTTTGAGCTGGCAAACTGACCTTGGCCTTGACCTGCTTGACGACCTTGCGGACCTTGGCCTCGCAGAAGGCGCCCCTGTACTTGGCGCTGACCTCAGTGCCGACCTCCAGGTAGGCCGGGTCATCGCCCTGCATCCTGGCCATCCGGCGGGCCGCACCAGTGTGCCCCCCTCAGCGGTATGGCAGCACCTGATCATGGAGCAGGGCACAGAGTCACCACAACACTCCAAACAAGGCCATCTGATGGGCCGTACCAGTGTGCCCACTCAGCGGCACGGCAGCACCTGACTGCGCAGCACAGCACGTGTCACCACAACACTCCAAACAAGGAGTGGTGTCACCACGACACTCCAAACAAGGCCATCTGGTGGGCTGTACCAGTGTGCCCCCCTCAGCAGTTCAGCAGCACCTGACCATGGAGCACAGCACGGTGTCACGACACTCCAAACAAGCCATCCAGCAGGCTGTACCAGTGTGCCCTCCCCCCCCCCCCCCCCTCAGCAATACGGCAGCACCTGACCACGAAGCAGGCACGGCATCACCTCAACACTCCAAACTGCGGGTCGGCGGGTCTGCAGTGCCAGCACGTCCGACGCACGTGCAGCTCGCAGCCATACCACACAACTGTCATAACTTGGCCACCTGAAGACATCTTTTTGATGCCGAGTGTATAAGTTTGAAGCAAATGGAGCAGTACACAGAGACCTAAGACCCTGTGATTATGACGAAAAAAGAAGTAGAGGAGCTGTACAAGAAGCCACAGTAAAAATAAATGGTCTCAAATAACTGCTGAACAGCATTGAGCTAGCAGCCTGAATGCAAATTGACATAAGAACGCATCATCTGAACACCTGCCGCCAACGCCAGGTAGGTGATGAGTGCCCAATTAGGCTCTTACGGTGGATTTTTAAGGTTCTAAGATGCCACTTAATGTTACTAAAAACCATCATTGAGTGTTGAAGCAAGGATGCAAGCAGCATGTGAAACAATGTCCAGTTATAATTCACATTTGTAACACGATGTTGTGGATGCCAGATGGTTGTTGCATGGCTGTTCGCAAAACCACACCCATGGCCCAGTATGTTTTAAGGGAACACAAAACACCTTATCACAATCCTTTCCAGAGACTGCAGTCACTACTGGCCACAGTCATGCCAGTGCCCAGAAGCCATGGCACAATGATGTGTATGTGAAACTCTACTCACCACCTACGAGCCCCCAAATATCAACCATTCAGCCATTATGTCCCCCCAGGGCCTGGTGGGACCATCTGTACAGAAGGACAGTGGTAAAAGGATCCTGCTGTATCAGCACCCATCTAATGTCCATGCATCCACCCTTGTAGGCACATTTTTGTAGCTCATCCATTTATACATACATCAAATGCATATACATCATATGCATGTCAAAATGAATAGTTTGGCTTTGAGTTTTCAAAATGGGAAAAACAAGACAGAACAGTGCACAACAGGCATGAACTCACTGTTCAGTACCATCCCCAGGCCTGAAGGATTCTATTGCACCATGCAGGGCATTATTTCTTCTTCTTGCAGCCAATTGCTCAATCACAAGCTTGGAATTTTATAGATGGGAAAGGGGCACATTGGTCTCAAATATAAAACTGTAAAGCTTTTTGCACTTTTGGTGGCTTTTTGATGATACTGGCCTCCACATAGGTGCACAAAAACTTATTGGATAGTAGAGATGAAGATGATAAGCATCACTATGAACATCATATATGTAACCATTTTTGTTTTCACCCAATATTTAGCAGCATGTGATGGGAAGCAGTATTGCATGTCCTTTTTGACACTGAAAGAGCTTCAGGTTTCAATGGTCATTTTGTCCCACTTTTTCAAAAAGAGATGACCTTTTGGACATTCAAGTGGTCCTCTTGGTAGCTCCATTAACCAAAATGCTGTTTTTTCCTTTTCAAATGCTTTCACTTTAAGTGCTGGCTATTTGCCCCTGACTGTGATAGCCTGCTGCAGCTGTGCTGTGGGCCAGGTGACATCAGGAGACAGGATGCACCATACCAGGCATTACAGCACCTGGAACTTTTGATGACAAATTGTGTGATATGGAACTTCATCATTGAATGGTAAGGTTCAATGACTTATACAACAATTACTGCTTATCATGGGCTCAACCAATGGACTCATCCAATCAAGGTGTAGATAAAATCTAAAAATGCTACTCAATACATGCTGCACATTAATTGGTGACCAAAATGAACAATATTCCACTGCAGTTGGGAGCTGGTAGAAAAGTCCTGGATTGAACACTGCTTGAACATGACTTATTGTAAAGATGTTGCTCTTTGCAGACTGCACTAATGGAACAGAACTGCACAGCTATGACAATTTGCTGTGCACCATACTGGTAAATAGTGTACTGTAAGTACTCTGCTTGGTTAGTGAAGAATGACTAATTGGAATGGGAAAAGATCCTTTCCCAGCACAGCTACCCTATGACATTGTCCACAATTAAGCCTGTTGGGTACACTAGGCCATATAAGGCAGGCTATCTCCAGCATGAAGCTGATGGCATAGTAAACAAGTATACCCTATAGCTATAAAGGTACTAACTGATTTTCGTAAAACCTGCAATTATCCCGATAAATATAACCCTTTTTCATAGCAAGCTCCCAATAAAGACAGCACCTCAAAACTTGCAATTTGAATAATTACTGATATGTTTAAGCTTAATTCTACCTGACTAGTGAACTGGTACTGTGACTCACAGTTGTCCTTGATTCCTTATACAACCCTGGCTAAAAAACAACTTCAGAAGACTCTGCTCCTCATACACTACAAAAAAGGTGTGGCTCAATTTGGATCTCAAACTGATTAATACATTTTCATTACATCTGATTGTGAGGTAGCCAGTTGTAAAGCCTTTACAGACGTGACTATAGATGACAAGATCACTATTATGCTGTCATGGCATGACTATAGATAACCTTGATTTGGAGCTACTATATCCTGTCAGGCTAACAGGGTGCCAGTAATGCAGTGATTAATCTGTGCAGTTAGGAAACCAGAGGTGCATCAAAAACAATAAAGTATGATCATTTTGGTTGGAAAGATATCTGGTATTTGAAAGCATGTTGTTCCTTAACATTGGGAGAGCTTCTGGCCAAAGCGAGGTGGGTGCCCACACCACAAAAATGAATGGACCACAGCCAGACCTATCTTGCCCCCTATAGTCATCTTCATAGAAGAAGATAACAGCATTCTTTGGACAACAAAAATTCTCCTGATGCTGTTCGTAAATCAGACCACTAAAATATGTGTTACTGTGAACAGGTCTGGTGTGGTACCTACTTTGCAGAAATAATCTAAGTGCACATATGCTGTAAATATAAATGCTTAAGTTTGGTACACAGTTGCTACCAATTTTGGCACAGAGAGCTAAGGTTTCAAGGAATTATGTCACAAAGGCAATCCCAGGCAAACATTCTCCACACCATTCTCACAAAAACAAATTTGAGACTTCACCTTTATTTGTCCTTGTCTGAGTCTGACCCTTGCCTGAGTTTGACATATGCAAATGTGAGGTTTGCTGCACTGATGCCATAGCAGTGTGTAGCCCCCAGGATGCTTTTTCAGACTGGTCCATAGATAGGTTGTCCTTATGGCAGCCCTCATATAGTTCCATCACTCCTTCAAACCAATGGGCAAAACAACGTCAAGTAGATAAATTGGAGACAGGGGGGCTAAGCCGGTCTACAAAAAGATTCATCCTCTGCACAATATGCCAACATGGCATGAGAGTGCTGAACCTGAAGCTTGCATGCTCCAAATTTTGGCCAGGTCAAATTGCTCTGAGTGTTAGAATATTCTCACCTAAACATTTTTGGGTGGATATTCTTATTTCAAGTTGCCTCACTACATCATAATTACTCGAAACATTAGTTCTATATGCCCCGAAGCTGGTGCGGACCACACACTAGACTCCAGGCTCGCTGATTTGTGCTATTTATGTGCTGAAATAGCTGCTGGTATATCACAGCTACAATGAACATGCTTCAAATAGCATGTATTTGTTGGCAGCCTGGGGGCTAAGTAAGGGAAAAAGGCTAAACACAGCCTAAATAAACACAAAAAGGGGCTCCCCAAATTTGACCCACTTTCGTCCCAACATCGGAGGACTTGGAACATTTTACCTAAATAGGTAACTCCACCTCTGTTCGCAACCTTTAGAACACCACACATTAAGCGACAAAACTGAAACCAGAAAACGTTACAGAAGCATTTGTCCAAGACCTAGCACGTAGTCCGTTCTTTCACAGGCGCATCATAAACTGACCTTATGATTCTCTAATTCTTCTGTGTTCCGTCTGTACACGCTTGAATAAAACATGAAAGAACAGATAGAACAACGGTACCCACTCAATCATCTGACACGCACGACCTCATTGCGAGCGATTTCACGACGACAACCGCGGCTGTCTGCGACGAGCAACTTGCGCCAGAAGTTGGCAATGTGCCAGTAAACAAGGATGGAGGGCATTTGTTATCGATCTTTGTTCCCATGCCAGTTGAATTGGATGTTTTAGTGGGGTATCTCTTTTATTAAGACGTCAACGTCTTGAAGATATATTTTCTCATGCGAATCTACGATGCGAACAATACTGATCTTATTCAAGATATATGCATTAATCACCTTTATCGATACGGAAATTGTGACGTCGATAGAAAGAAGATCAAATATTTGGCTTGCTTTTAATTTAGCGCATCAAAAAGTTGGTTGGAAGTGCTATGGCATGCGGCGTCGGGTGTTCGAAACGTGATGCTGGAGTTAGTTCGTATTAGGAGCAGTGTATTGCCGGGTGCATGTTATCATCATCGCTTTGGTTGCGCTTCTTCTCGGTTTTGCTTCAATGCCTGACTTGCCATGCCGTCCAGTCGCTGCGTTGTCGCGCAGGATAGCGAAATGAGTATTTGGGTGGGTGGGACAGGCGGGATGTTTGGGAATTGTGTTTGAGTGGTGCATCGGTATATGTAGGCGTACAACAGCTGAGATGCAGCGTGTGTTGGATTACCAATGTTTTCTGGTGATGGCATGGGTTGCTTTTGGCGTTCGTCAACAATGCAGACAAGGTATTCCATATGTATAACAACGTGCTGTAACCGGCACCGCTCAGGGGCGCATTCAGGAGGTGCTTGGCGGAGCCCTGAGTCCATGCTAATTTTAAACGTTCTGTCGGAGGTTTTCTGGGTACTGAGACAAATGCATGCCGAAGCGGGCCGACCTCGCTTAGTTGCGCTTATGGTGCGGCGTGTCGGCGGTTGTAACTTGTTCTTAGTTGTTCACGCATCCCGCAACGCGCGAGATGTGGAAGCTGCTCCGCGTAATTTTATCCTCTTAAGTGGAAATTGATTGGGTGCAGCCGTGGCAATGCCCGCACTCGAACTCCAAACAAGTTCTGTGTCTGGCCGAAAATTTCCGGATGTGCTAAATTGATTAAAATTGCATGTTTTGATCCGCTGATCGCTTTTCGATTTCGAGATGTGAATGGATGAACTGCATATACGGTATATGAGATGCACGAGGACTTTATTTGTCTTGTTCACCTGGGTGTGTTCTCTTTAGGCGCGTGCACTCGTGCTGTCATTGGCATCAAACGTACAATGGGTAGCTTTCAAGTCTGCGCCTGTGCATTGTAGTGATCTTATTCCCGGTGTTTGTGGTCCTGAACGCAGGACAAATCTGCAGCTCTAATGTTGGCGGCATCCCGGGCATCGATACATCGCACGTGAGGAATCTCAAGGACGATGATGGCGAGCGTGTAGGTGGTTGTTTGGGCTGCCGGGTTATGGGTGTTGGGTGCGCTGGGCATAGCTGTGAGCTGTTTCATTGTTGCAAGGTCTATTGGAGGCTGAAAGTGACTAAAATAACCCTTTCTCCCGCGACCTCAGATTCCTCCTCGAATTCTGTTTCAACTTTTCTTTTGCGGCTGGGGTTGGGGAAGGTGGGGGAGGTGAAGCATCTTCACCTGGCCATTGAACTGTGAAATGAAATACAAATGGTTGAATCTGAGTGGTTTTCATGGGTGTGTAAGGGCCTATCAGTTTATGCTCCAGATCAGGAAATGGGCCAGTGTGCAGGGGTTTTAGATATCTAAAATCTGGTTTCAGCATTGGGTCAGAAAATGAAATTTTGGCATGGACATTATGTGTCGGCAGTTCCTACAGTGGATCATATCATGCTAGCTTGTGGTCTAGACCATCTAATTGGGGTGATGTATCATATTTTAGGACTGGTTAAGCTGGCAGAAGGTGCCCCAAATATACTGAATGGTGTTCTATCTGCAGGAAGATTCAGGCTGCTTCAGGTGTCTTGCTGACATCCATGCCATTGCCATGGTTTACAGACTGGAAAAGGAGGATATTTGTGCCAAATTTCTCTTCACAATACAATGGTCTGACCCTAGATGATTTTCTGCAAGTGCAGGTTATGAAAGACGTGGGCATATAAATGTTCATGCTGTTGAATTAAGAGATACATGCATCCACACAGTGTTAATGCCAAAGATAGACTGATCAGCTTGACAATGTCCTGAAAAAGAACTGCAAGAATGTGCTACATCACCATCTCAAAGCATGTTTCTGATAATTTGGTATCAATTTTGCACATGTTCTTGATCTCTTGAGCAATGTGGGCAAAAAGTACACCTGTAAAGTTGGACTGATGACCTTTTTCAAATTTGTTTAATGTCCAATTTATGGGCAAGTTAAAGATAGGGTTTTGGATGTTATAAGTTTTTTAATTTAAAAGTGCAAAATTGTGTGCTAGCTATACCCAAATGATGTGAAATCAGTGTGAATGACAGAAAGCTGGTCTAACTGCCCCAGCTTTTGTCAACAAATTTTGTAGCATATCAGATTCTGAAGGGCTTTTGCATATGCCTCCAAGTTTACTGCCCTGTGTTCCCAGCTCAGTTTTATCAAATGAAGGCTGATTTGTCCATGTAATGTAATTGTCCATCCATAAAAATAATGTCATAATGCAAATATCCCATAATGTAATGTCCTGTGCTGACTCACCTGCAACAAAATGCATTTCAGAGCATTGGCACCCAACAAATTACATGTCAGCTTTGGCCATGTCACATTTGAGATTTGCATGCATGCTGATTGATTGTCTTGAGAAGTGCATAGATAGCAGATTGACCTGCAATCTGAATACAATATTATACATATCTTCTGTTTCAGACTGTTGTCACCATCAGAAAAATAAAATTGACTTTTTGAGATGGCAACAACAGGGATATGCACAGTGGTGCCTATAAGTAAAAAACACAAGAAAATTCACAGGCGCATTGGCCACATCACTGCTAAGTACAAGAACTACATCATTGTCTGGGGTGGATATGAGGTACATTATGGTCAGGTCCGGATGGAGGACTGGTGCATTACCATGTTACTGTTCATTCATTTACAGTGACAGCCAATGCTTGAAGGGGTTTTCCTACCTTGTTGCCAGTCATAGTGATAATGGATCAATGGCAACTGACTTAAGAAAGTAATAGCAATCTGCTGATAATCACAGTGTTGATATATTGTAATTATGCATTTCTGACTGGACCAAACATGGCTGCAACCATAATTACACCTGTGTCTGTTTTTATCTTACATTATGTGTTTCATGCAGCTATTGTTGGTTTTTGCAGGACAAGAGCTTGGAAAATGTCAATGAAAATGATGAACATTTTCTGTACAGCAGAGCCTGTTATCACCCACCTAATGAAGTTCTGTTATATGATGTTGAGTATGAAGTTTGGTAAGGTATTCTAGAACAACATGTTATCATAATGTTTCCATACATGAAACCATTAAAAGTGAATTATGGTGTGCCATAAGAATGTATTAAAATTCAAATTTTCTGTTATTTGTGTATCATACTTCAGGTGTTTGTATCTGATTTTGAATCCAGCTGTTTATGTCATGTTTTCCAGCTCCCTACATAAGCACTCTTTCTATGACAATGGTGATATCTACATTGATAGCAAATGTGTTTTTTCATCACAGGCACATTGTATGCACTGGAGGGGAAATTCCATCCAAGCTGTGTGGTAGCACTGCAGCTGTCTGTGGCAACAACCTGTATCTGTTTGGGGGTAGGTGCTCTGGCTGGGGGTTGGCTTGCCAGTGATGGCATGGGCACCAGTGAACATAAATAAGTTTTGTCAAATGTCATTATTTTCTGTTTTTATGGTGTCCATGTGTCTGCCATTACTAGAATTATAAATTGAGCTCATGTCTGTTAAGAAATTGTCTTGCCACTGCTTGGAACATCTGCCAGTCAAATATCTGGTTATGGTATCTTGCACAGTTTTGTTGTAAGTTCTGTGCAATTTGCTATGCCATAGGCATCAGATGGTCTTTTCCGGCCATGTGACTTTGTAGATAACAAATTAAAACAAATTAGCTGCCCTGATTCTGTGAAAACACTATCACGTAACAGAGGTGCAACAGGATATGCTGTCTGCACACTTGATTACCACATGGTATTCCTGAACTGTTGGCCTTACATTTCCAGGCTTCCGCGAGGCGACGATGCTGTCGGAGAGCTGCAATGTGCAGTCACTGTACGAGCTGAACCTGGATTGCATGGAGTGGCGGCAGCTGCACCCAGCTGGCCTGTCACCACTGGCCTGCGACAAGCTCGTCAGCTGGTGCTACGACAACGCGTGAGTCCAGTAGGACGCGGCCAGTGCATAGCAATGCGCCACGGCATCTCCCTCGGTGACCGCGTTTGCTGCGTAGGCTTTTCTAGACTATAAGCTTTTCTTGATGCTGCCGCTGTTCGTTGCCCCTTAGATCGTCGTAATAGCCTTTCACGGAGCGTGACGGGAAATAAAGCAGCGACCTCTTGAGATCGGCTGGTGAGTAGCTACTCCTCCCAGAGTCCGGACGGCAAGAGATGGCCACCTTGAATTGCTGCGAAGACGTCTCTGGGTCGGAAGCGACCGGCAGCGTGCGCGCCTCGTCCATCGCCAGCAGCGCTCGACCCTCTGACTGTTGGCCGGCGCCGCCGCCGCAGGTTCTACGTGTTCGGCGGGTTCGGGCCGTGGCCGGAGCACGTGACCGACTACACGGGCGTGACGTTCACGGTGGACCCGCGCGCCGGCGACCGGCGCGGCTGGAATAACCAGCTGGTGCGGTACGTGCCGGCCGCCGACCGCTGGGAGTGGCCGGCCACCGACGGCGAGCCGCCCAGCCCGCGCGCCGCCCACGCCGCCGCCCGGCTGCGCAGCCGGCTCTTCGTCTTCGGCGGCCGCATGGGCCACCGGCTGAACGACCTGCACTGCCTGGACCTGGACACGGCGCACTGGACGCACCTGTGAGCCGCGGGGAGGGGGAGGGGTAGGGGCGCTAGGCGGGCCGCCTGCGCCCCTCAGCAGCGAGGGCGGAGCTACGCCGTGAACGCTGGCTAGGTGGGAGGAAGGTCGGTGCTGCGCTGGGTCCGCTGAGTGGTGCACCGTTGAGACGTCCGGCGATGCCTCGCCACGGGAGCGTCGGAGCATGCCGCGCCTCCGCGTGTAGGTCCCCATCGCGACGGAAGGCCATGGTCACATGAGGTCTTTGTGCTACAAAAACGGCGTTGCAGCGTTACCCTTCATGAGTTAGACATTTGTTGCTCAGCTGCTTCCGTTCCGCACTAACTAACATTTAAATTGCGGATTATTTAGTTTATTTAGCTTGGCTCGGCTCCAGATAACTCGCCGCGCACTGTCGCAGACGTCTCTACAACCAGAGCGGCTGCAGTTGGGACACGCTTCCGAATTTATTCCGGAACACGGAGGTGCTGACAAAGAGCACTCTGGTAGCCGTCAGGTGGGGCTTGTGCGGAGCGCCAAGCTGTGCGGCGCCCTGACGTGTGGTCCCGTCCCTGTGCGGTGCCGCAGGGAGGCGGCCGACCCGGCGGCGCCGCTGCCGCAGGGCCGCTCCTGGCACAGCGTGACGCCGCTGCTGGACGACCAGCTGCTCATCTACGGCGGCTTCAACGACATGGACGAGCCGCTCGGTGAGCTGCGCGTGCCCGTCCGCCGTCCGCCCCGAGGCGGGTTTTGTTTTTTCCCTTTTTAGCTTCATCACATTTTATTAATTTTCGAACATCGTGACGTTTACATTTCTACTTGTTTTGTATTCGAACAACCACACAATGACATACACACCGTCCTGGATCGCGACAGTAGCACCTCCCGCCGCTGGCGCTGCCCCGCGAGCCACCGCGGGAGGCGATTGTGTTCACCGGAGGGCGTGCGCAGTGTCGGCGTCAGAGCGGGGCGGCACGGTCCCGTCCGTGTCCCGGTCGCCTTTTGTAATCGTGAAGCAGCTCATGCGGTCTTCCGCCACGCGGATTGGTGTAGGTGACCTGCGAGTTTGCCTCCCGCCGTGGACAATGCCATTTTGTGCGTGACTGTCCACGTCGTGGGCGCAGTGTGTCGCCGCGTCCGGCGCCGAGCCCTTCCCTCCCCGCTCGACACTCAGTCCCGACCCGCGACCTGCCTGTCCGGCCGCATTTGTGACAGGGGCCAGCGGCCCCCTCCCCACCAACCTCCGGACGCTCCAGCGCCCCCTCCCTCCCCCCCCCCCCCGCCCCCGGTGCGAGGGTTGTCCCTGACCGGCGCCGCGCCGCCCCGCCCCCAGACGACCCGTGGGTGTACGAGGTGGACGCAGCACGCTGGCGATCCGTGCACTCCTGGCTGCCGGCGCCGGCCGTGCGCATGTGGCACACAGCGGCTGCTGCCGCGCCCGGCGAGGTGCACGTGCTAGGCGGCCTCGAAACCAGCATCTTCGCCCGCCGGCCCGCGCACTTCGCCTCACGCGTGGTGGTCATCCAGCGCACGCCAAAGTCCCTTCTCAGGTGAGGTGTCAGCGCGCCCATTGGCTGCAGTGGGGGGGGGGGGGGGGGGGATGAAGGTTTGAAGGGAGTCTCGCGGTGGATCTGAAAATCAGGGTCGGTTTCAGGTCCCGTAGTATGTGTAGGGTGGAATGGCAGCGTCTGTGGTGGTTGACGTAGTCGTGGGTTTATTATCCAGGCCCACGCAGCTTCGAATTCTCAAAACGCTCCCCGTCGGGGAATCGAACCCCGGTCTCCCGCGTGACAGGCGGGGATACTCACCACTATACTAACGAGGAGTGGGTTTGTTGTCGTTGGGAGTAGGCCTTATGATAGGGACGAAGTTTTGTGTTCAAATTGGGGAGTTTCAGCCCTCTTCTCTCAACTTTGACAACGAAATGGCCAAATTGGGGTAGAGACACGATTCTGGGGCGTCTTTTGTGGGTAGGTTTAGCGTTTTTCCCGGGCTCATCCTGCTCCTTAACTCATTTTGAAAGGCCTTTCAAACTGACTGATAAAGCGATTAGCTGTTATCTGGGAAAAAAGCTCATACAATACCGACAATGAGTGTTCCCCGACGTCAAATGACGCCGTCGTCCCACTCACCGTACCCAATGATCCGATGTCAGGTTAAATTTTCCTGCCAATCACCTGCCTGTCAATCTACCTGCCTGTCAGCTAATCAGCCACTCACGTTACCGTGGTCTGACAGCTCTGACCTTGGCATCGCTGCCCCGCCCGTCAGTCCCACGTCACTGATGGGACAGCCTCACCCTCGCCCCGCCCGTTCGTAGGCACATGACGTACGCTTGAATTACACCCGGTCGGGTGGTATATGCTGTGAACGTTAACCAATGACGGATCGAAATGGCGTCCTACAATGGAAATGAACATCCCACGTTGTGCGAAAAGCAGCCTCGCTTTGGGAGCTGCTTAATCTTTGCTGCTTAGCATGGCAATGTGGATGGTGCTAAACAAGGATGTGATACAAGCGCGTCCACTGTGTTACATTTGTCTCCAATGGAGCATCGTCAGTGGTTAAGGCACTGCAGCAATCCCTTCGTTTGTTGGTAAGGTTGTCGGTGCCCTCACTCATCGTTAGTATAGTGGTGAGTATCCCCGCCTGTCACGCGGGAGACCGGGGTTCGATTCCCCGACGGGGAGGATTTTGTACAGGTACGACGGATTCTCTGTCCGTTGCCTGTTCGGCCTCATGTCCATCCACACGGAATCCAGGTTTGTTGCGTGGAGTCTCGGCGGCCATTGAGGTGTGTCCGGAAATAATCGTAACGTAGTTATACTCACAAGCTGATCAGAGGACTTCTTCCCGGAACGAGAACGAGTTACTGGTCTGTGTTACGCTTTTACGATGAAAGTTCAACCATGCTGTACTCGGTCCCTGTGAGGCCCAAACTGAATTTGTGAGTCATTACACTATAAAGAGAACACCCCTTGGTGAAATACACGGCGGCATGATAATCGAAAAGCATTACGCATATTTCCGCATTCTCAGCTCCGGTTTGTTTTCATGCCGTCAATCGTGGCAGCCCTCCTATAACGTGCGGAACGCATGTCATAAGTATTGTGACACTGCCATATACGTTACCGGTTCACGTGAAGGATATTTCCTTGAGATTGGGTATGGCGGGGGGGGGGGGGTGATAGACAGAAAGCCCGTGTCGGATCGCGGCACGTGATCGTATCTTTTGATACAACGGCTTGAAATCCTCCCCGTCAGCGAATCGAACCCCGGTCTCCGGCGTGACAAGCGGGGATACTCACCGTTATGTACTAGCGAGTTGTTGGGTTCTCCTCGTTACGGGAACGCGTGATTTAGTGACCCAGCTGTTAGCTGTAAACAGAGTTCCTGAAAATGTCGGAAAGAAGTGCGTCCTCCCACACGCCTACAATGATGATGTCGTTCCTCCTGCCAGCACCCTCGGTCAAACCTCTTTGTCAACTCTTGCCACACTCTGTCAAATGTTGCGATGTCGCTCCAAATCTCTCCCTGCTCATCTGCCTGTCAGTCACTCACGTCACCGTGGTCTGACAGCCCTGACCTTGGCATTACTGGCCCACCTTTCTACGTCACTGGTTTGATAACCCGACCCTCTCACCGCGGCGCTCTAAAAAAACTGGCCGCCTTATATGAGCAGCAGCGGCAGCAGCACCACCACCACATTCACAAACGGGTGGTTGGGTTTGCACTTTCTTTGCTCCTTCGAGAGGACGTATTGCTTTCACCCTTCAGTGTCTAAAGACTGGTCCGCGCCTTACACGCATCTGGGCGTACACATTGATTACCCTGTCATGTTGTATATCGTGCATTTGCAAGCGTCCGGCAATGACTGATCGAAAAGGCGCCTGGGAGCTGTTTAGCCTCTCCTGTTGACCAGAGCTGTTTCGCTGCTGTTTGATTTTGGCCGGGGCCCATTGGGCGTTGTAACATGAATGACGCAAAATAAGGATGCCTGACAACGTATCACGTTCTCCTTGAGTATTGCCATTGTTTTAGTGACTACGGTAGTGGGGTCGATTGTAGGTATGGTTGGGCGTGTAACACTCCTCGTTAGTATAGTGGTGAGTATCCCCGCCTGTCACGCGGGAGACCGGGGTTCGATTCCCCGACGGGGAGGGTTTTGTAAAGGCAAGGCAGGGTCAGCATGCACCCTTGTGCAGGGTGTATGCTCGGCGTAACCTCCTCCTCAGTTTGAGGTACGCAGTTTGCGCACGGAAATGGGTCCTGTCTGAGCTGAATGTCAACGATCTGTGACAGTTCGCGCGTATGGGAGAAGCTTTGGAAGTCGTTCTTCTGGAACGAATGAAACGTACGGAATTCAGAAACTGTTTTGAAGCCCAACCATGAAGTATTCACCCTTGAGCCTTGTGTTCGATCCCTCTCAAAATCTACTACAATGTTTCATGGCAGCACTGCCCTTTGGTGCTGGTTTCCCATTGGGGCTGTGTTAAGGTGCAAACTTTCATAATTACTGCAGCTTGAAAAGGATTTTTGCAGAGTGAGCGTCATAATGTAAAGCAGGGAGTTTGTCGCAAATCATCTGCTTACTCACTTTCAATCCATTTGTATCTAATTGTGCAGGGCTGTGTGCTGCACGCATACCACACACGTCGTGTACGTATTACGGAGAGCGCCAGATCTGTCTACACGGGTAGAACTTGTTGGAAGGTAGACGCAGGGAGGTCAACGGTCCGTATTGCATCGCGACCGTTGATCGCCTCTTTGGATGCAACTGACTAAAACCCTCCCCGTCAGTGAATCGAACCCCGGTCTCCCGCGTGACAGGCGGAGACACTCACGATTGTACGAACGAGGAGCGGGATAAAACCCGGTAAGGTTGACCTGGTTGCACGATTCCACGTTATTTTGGCGCACGAGCTCATGAAAATATACCTAAAGAATGTTATTTCCTCTCCCCTCAAATGACATCGCTTTTCCACGCAGTCGGATGACACGATATCAGTGCATATTTCTACTTGGCGCTCATCTACTGAAATATCACATCCCTGTGATCTGGCAACCGTGATATTGATATTGCCGCCTCGACTTGCAGTCTCACATCACTGGTGGAACAGCCCCATCCTCGCGCTTTGAAAACTCTGTCTTTCGCGTGATGTGAAGAGCAACAGCACGTTTCACACCGTGGTCTCCAGTACTGCGGTCTGCACCTTACACGTACCTTAGCCTTCCCCTGATGACCCTTCCATGCGATATGTTTGGAAACGTCCGCTAGTAACTGATCGAAAAGGCGGCGTTGTTTTATAAAGGGAGCGGAGTATGTACGTGGTGCGGAAAGCAACCTCGCCTTGGCAGCTTTCTTATCTGCTGTTGTGAAAGCGGTTTCACTGCTGTTTTATTTAGGCTTTATTTGGGCTGTGCCCGTTGAGCGTATTACCAAATAAGGATGCCGCACAGACGTATCCAGTTTGCGACCTTCTCGAGCGTCGTCATTGGATAAGGTGGTGCGGCAGTCTGTGTGTGTTGGTCGGGTTAAAAAGCGTTGTCACTTCTGGTTAGTGTGGTGGCGAGCGTCCCTGTGTAGCCTTTGCTGTTGATCAAAGCGGCTTCACCGCCTGTTTGATTTTGCTTGGGTCCCTTGTAAATTGTGACACCAATGACACCAAATAAGGATGCCGCACAACGTGTCACGTTTTCCTCGGACATCGTCATTGCTTCCAGTGACTACGGCAGTCGGGTCGATTGTGGGTATGGTTGGAGATGGGGTACTCCTCGTTAGTATAGTGGTGAGTATCCCCGCCTGTCACGCGGGAGACCGGGGTTCGATTCCCCGACGGGGAGGGCTTTGTGTTAGGACGGGTGTGACTCTGCACGTTGTCAATTGGCGCCATGTCCATCGCGAACACGCATGATGTTCACCACTGCCTATAAACGAGGAGTCGGCATCTCGTCAAGATTAGGCATGACAGTGTTCTTAGTAGCTGCCACGTTTGCCACTTAGTAGCTGCCACGGTCTTAGTAGCTGCCCGTAGTAGTTGTCCTACTGGTCTTTAAGCAGAGTTCCTGAAAATGTGCGAGATAAGTGTCTGAATTGGAAGAGCGAAAGTTTTGTGAATGGGGGAAAAAATTGTATTACAAGTTTTTCTCGCATTGCCAGCCACGGTCTTTTCGGTAGCTCCAATCCATTTGCTGCATCGTATAACGTGTGCGACCGGCATACCACGCACCGCAATGTTTACTTAGAGTGGCACCGCTAAGGTTAATGCCTGTGAAGAATGCCTGAGTGGAGTACTTCCCGCGATGCAGATGCAGGGGGTGAGCAGTCTGCGCTTGGGCGCGAACAGTGATATCACCTCTGGATTCATCGGTTAAGATCCTTCCCGTCGGGGGATCGAACCTCGGTTTCCCGCATGACAGGCGGGTTTACTCGCAACTGTGCTCACGGGAAGCGAGGCGTAGACTAGATCAGCTAGTCAGTCACTCACGTCACCGTGATCTGTCAGCCGTGACCTTGGCATTACTGTCCCGCCTTTCTACGTCACTGGTTTGAT